CTAAGAATAGAGTTTTCAATTCCTTTCTACTCACCAGAATATAAAGTCCTCTGTTTTCTGTTGAAGGTTTTTCTTGGTTATATGTTTGTATGGTTGTTTCATATTATTATCTATTTATTTATTTATTTTTTACATTTTTTTCTTCCATTTCTGGATATGTCGTTTTTAGAGGTGATTGTCATTGTGAACTGTTCTTTTTCTTATCCTTTTCCAATTCATGTCGTTTTTGTTTTTTAAGTTCATGTCGTTTCTTGGGGTTATGTTTTCTCAATTTGTCTCTTTTAATTAATATTTTTGTCAGATAAGCTTTATCATTGTCGTTTATGAGTTATATCATCATTTTTCAGATTTCAACTCATTTTTACGCTCTTGTCGTTTTTCTATTTGTCTCGTTTGTTTTACAAAATATCGTTCCGTAATGAATTGCCGATGTAATATTTGATGTTTCGTTTTTGGTTTGATTGTTGTCGTTTCTAATTTAATGCTGGGTTTTATGATGTTATCGTTTTTTACATGTGCCCCTATTCTACAATTGTGCATTTTATTTCAACGTGGTCTACAATTGGAAATGGACCCATTAAGTTGATATTATGCCCTCCAAATTTGAAAATTAAATTGATTCTCCAAGTAGTCAATTTAACTACTAAAAGTTGTACACATTTTTATCTACACTTAAAGGAAAGATTTTTGTCTATGATCTAATTATAGAATAGAAAATGACAACATTTGGATTTTTAGTTACATGATGTGAGCTATGGATTCAATCATCACATACAGACAAAAAAAAAAAAAAAAAAAAAAGGACCTCCTCGTTTTCTTCATCAAAAGTATGAAGAGGCATTTGCGTCAAAAATATCAAAGGGACAAAAAAAAATCTTTTCATTAGTTTAATCGTCACATCATTAAGAAAAAACATGCAAAAAAAAAAATCAATACAATATGTATCAAACAATCAACATACACATGCGAAATTGTTTTATTAATGCGGTGATTTAAGAAATAAGTAAAAAAATGAATATGAAATTTAAATGACCAGGAATGAATATTCTGAAAAAGAATAAACATGAACAAATCATAATAAAATAAAAATTGCAATAAAGAAAAAAAAACCTCACAAAACTATAGGTAAAGAAACAATAAATAATTACAATAAAACAATTATCAAACAAAAGCATGGCGATGTCTTCTTCCTCGAAAAGTTTGCTCTGCTTCTCGCATTTGCATTAGTATAAACGACATATCTTTGTTTGTACATTGGTTAAATGATTACAGACAATTAATTAGAGATAAAAAAAAGAAAATATGTAGAATATTACGATAAAAACAAATAAAAATTAACCATATATGTTCTGCAAAATAATCCATAAGGGCATATCCGGTAACATATATGCCTAAATTAGTATTTTTGTAATATTGTATAATAATCGATATTTTTAAAATTAGAGCTTTAATAATAGGCATTTTTTGTAATTACTTTTTTTGTTTGTCTATTCTATTCAACATCATTCTTGTGAAACCATGATTTATTATTTGTTTTGACTTGTCACATTGTTTCCTTAATTGGAAGAACGAATTTTTTAAGAGATAAAAAAGAAGAAGAAAGGGAAAAAAAAAAAAAAGGAAAACAAAGGGTTTCGTTCTTGAGTGTAATGTGGTAACTAGGAATTTTCAAAACACGTGATACATGCACTACCCACTTACCCATACTCCGCTGCTACATCCTCTCTGCATGCCCATCAACAAGTTTTAGAGAGCCGGTGCCTTACTCGAGCTTCCTACAACACGAACAAATTTAATGAGCTTTTGCTCAGCAAGTAAGAGTAGGTCATAATAGATGCAATAATTATGCATACCCATATATGCATTTGTGTCATATATCCTAATACATTATGTAGTACTAGAACATGTATGACTTATGTTCTTCTTTCATTACACTTTTGGTTCAGTTTCGTCTTTCTTTAGTCGTTCACATTGTGTTTTCAGGTTTTTAACGACTTTCATATTGTGTTTTTCATTCTTTTCATTCTTCTTTATAGATACCGCACCTTTACATGGAACAGTTTCTGTTTTTCATTTTTCTTGTCTTTTACTTCTTATGGGCCCTGTCCTGTTGTACCATATCGCACATAACCAGTGAGGAGTGAGGTAGCTAACCAATCTAACTCAGTCACGGTTTCATTTCTGTCATAGTCTCATAGTAACCTTTCCTTCGAAGGCTTGTACAAACAGGATATTTGGTCTCTTACCGTTTATCAATTTTCTCATTGAAACGGTAACTTTAGTTAAATCTTATGACTTTGTGCATTTTTGAGCAATTTATCATGAGATTGACTTTTCGTTAAAGTTTAACTTTTTCTCTTAACTTGACTTCGACTTGACGTCAATACATACTTTTCGTATAATAAAATTCTACTGCTACTTAAGTTTTGTAGATATATGCATAACATTGTATCGAACATTCAGGAGTCATCTTTTCTGTTCTAGCATACATTTAGTCTACAATATGCTCGGATTGAGCAACATAGAGAAATAAATTTATTCACGTTGTAGACAAGAAAAACTACTAATACTTACAGAAGTTTCGCTAATGTTGCGTCCTTTGTCTTACTTGATGCTTTCCGACTTCGATCGTTAATCGATCCTATTGCATAAATTTCTGGTCATTAGATTCAAAATCTAAGATAAATAATTATTTTAAAATTTAATTCGGAAAGGTCTACAATCTTTATGTTTGGTATTCAATCCCAAAATATTTCCTATCTCAAGAATTTGCACTAAAACCATGCACCTTCCTCAGTCATGGGCCTAATTTTCAGTTTTGGTCTAAAACTGCGAGTTCTCATTGTGTTCGGTTTCTATTCATCACCGATTATCGAATCGACTTACTTTTCACACTTTAATCCCTTATTCCTCTTGAAATCCGGTTTTAATTCAAATGCTCAAATCAAATTTCGGCAGAGTTTCGCTTATTTCTCTATGCTTCCCGAGCTAACTTTAGCTCGCTTTATTCATTGTTTTCACCTTCTAACACAAACCAAATCCTTTCTCTTTCAAATGCACCATCAACATCATCATCATTCTTGGGTTCTCACAAGAATGATCTATCACCAAATAGGCTAGAAACAAAATCCAATAACCAAGAAACCATCTTTGAATCACTAGATTTTCATGTTCTTTAACCATCCCAAGCTAATCTTCATTTTAAGTGAAATTTTTTTCATCTCTTCCCCTATGCTCCACGTACAGCTATGGTAGGAAAATCACAAAAAAAATTCAAATTCTCACCTGAGAGAATGAAGAATAAGCTTCGGAGACGCTATTCCTCGGTAACTTCGTCGATTTTCGCTTAAATCTCACCTTTCCTCACCTTGGTGAAAATGTTCTTCTCTCTTTCTCTCTTGGCTGGTCACTCTCTGTATTTGCATGATAATTAGGCATTTTTCTTGTGTCTTCCCTTTAAGAACCGACCACCATAAAGTGAGGGAGAAAGAATGCAATTTTCACATTTTTTAGGGACCATTTTGCAAAATTCAACAAAATATCCCAAAATATATTTTCTTTCATTCTTCACTAATCTTGGCCGGCCACCTTGAATGCCACATGCCTCAATCTCAGCCCTTCATCTAATTTTTAATTTAAATCATAGCCATCCATTCATAATAATTATCTCATTTATGTTCCATTTAATTCATATCCGGTGTGCGTTTTATCTGCATTTTTCAGACAGTTGGTCAACTTAGTCAACTTTGACCATTCTTGACTAACTTTTTGAGGGCGACGTCTGGTCAACTCTTGGTCAATAAATTTTGACTTAGTCAACTCAAATTAGTCGAAACCCCAATTTTCTCGGTTCAGCTTTCTGAATCCCTTTTTGCGTCCATTTTTCATTCCGATTGTTTCTAAAACCTTATAATTGATGTCTTTCAATTCCTTCTCATTTCTTAACCTTAATATTCATGTGCTTACCCACTTGTGGGTTTAACACAACGTTCCATACTTCTTTTTTTGAACATAGTTTAAAAATCGATAACTATATCGCACTTTAGAAATTTCTAAACTTTAGCTTATAACTTGCTATTTAGTACTATTGTCAACAAGTACTTGTCATAAAAATATTCATATTCATGATATAAAGGATTCTAGAAAATATTATCCTATAAAATAATTCTCATAAATTTCTAAGTCATGACATATAATAATAAGAATTCAATCATATTAATTAATTGTCATAATTTATTTTGGTCAGCTAGTCAATTTATAACAACCGGCTAATTCATATGACATGTTTAAAACAACGATATCAATGCAGACTAATGTACATATATGAACTCTAAACTAGCTAAAATATTATGGGCGTAGGAGTTGTTTCCTTATCTAGAGATTTAAAAGTCAACTTGTATTTTCCTAAATTTGTTTTGTACAGTTTCTGCTGTAGTGAATGAATTCAGAATTCCAAAATTATTCAATTCATAATTACAAATTGGTGACTTTTTACTTGCAGATCCTCTAATAATTTTGAACTAGAATGAAAATTAAGCATACGAAAAATCATTATTATAATTCCGTAAGGTATTCTGATAAGAAAAAATTGAGGGCAGCCATTCTTGCAAATAATTGGTAAAGCGATAAGGACTGTGATAAGATTTTGTCGTTTATGTTTTAAACTTATAATGCTACGTTTCTGATTGTAGATATTCAGAACATTAGCATATATGTCCAAATTACTAAATACCAACTTTGATCATTTCACAAAGATTTTAGTACTACTTAATAATAAACAAAATACTATGAGTAGAAAGAAGCAGTACTTTATTTATATACAAGCGCCATTTCAGAAAAAAAAAAAAAAAAAAAAATTGAGATAAAAGATAACAACGATCAGTTTTAGTAATAAAAATAGTAAAAACACACGCCTGATGAAAAGGAAAAAATCACACACCAGATGAAAACACGCCTTCAATAAAAGAGAAAAAAAATTCAAATGAAAGCAAACTGGATCACAAGAACACATGCAGATCACAAACTGGATCACAAGAACACAAAGGCAATCAGCTCAGCAACATCGTTTTGGGATGCAAAGGTGGCCGGTCATGTGCCAACTTTCGCCTCCATCGCATTGCGCATTAGGGCATGCCGGAATGTAGACTCTGTCGAAATGCAGGTTCCATGCTGCGTTCGGGTCTTGAGTCGAGAAGGTGGTCCAACTAGCAGTCGAATTCTCGTATCTACTATGCGTGATGTGATTGAACTTCTCCACGTCCTTATTCTTGTTTATGTCATCCGGGTCGATGTCGATAATGAAAATATCGCCATAAGGCCTCACAGAGTGGACGAAAATAGGCAAAGAGATAGGATCCACAGACACCGCAGCAAGATCCGCAGTCACAACAATGCTCTTTCCGTCCGGACTAAAGAATGGATGGTTCACATGCCCTGCAAGATCACTATCACTTCCTAACACTCTTACCACCACTGACGGATCATTCGCCTTCACTAGAAATACCGCAAAGTATCCCGGATCAAGACCATTGTCAAGTTCCGGTGCATCTTCTGGCTTGTCGCGGGTTGACGAAAAGACTATCCAATCTCCCCTTGGGGACCATTGGCAATGTGTGTCAGTCCAAGCCCCATTTGTTAGCCTTGTTATTACGCCATCCCCATATTCGCCTAATTCTGCATTCTCCATTATGTATAGGTTCTTGAATTTCTTATCCCCTCCGTTTCTCGTAGATCGAAATACTAATTTCGTCCCTATTACATTAAGTTAAACAAATTCTAGTTATATTAATTATATCACGTTATAACAGGAATTTTGAAAGGAATTAGAAGGAGCAAGTATAGCTAGGAAGTTGTTACCAGCTGGATTGGTGGATGGGAAGGCGTTGTTGGAAACTCTTGTTAGCTGTATACGATGTTCTGCTGACCCGCATCACGGTTGAGATTTTGGGTGTTTCGATGATGGAGGTGATTATGGGTATGGAGAGATGTAACTGCGCCTGGATATTGATTTGAATTTGGGTATGTAGAGGTTGTGTGTGGGTTGGCGATGATGTGCCGATCGTGGTATCGAGAAGATTATGGAGGCGGTAGAGGTGGTGAACAACGGATTTGGGTGTGGAGATTGGATAGATGACGGTGGTGGTTGGAATGGCAGTGGAGGTTTGATTGGTGGTGGTAACGGTGGTGGTGAAGGGAAGAAAATGGTGACAATGGATGATGGGAAAACCCGTGAGATGGTGGTGGAGATGATGAGTGGATAGGTGGTGGAGAACACGGTCGTTGGTGGGCACTCCACCTCCGAACGCCGCGGATCCGGTGACTACAATCGCCGTCCATGGCTATCATACCTCCTCGGGAAACTGATATCAAATGACGCAGCGGAATGGAAAAAAAAAAGGATTTTACTGCCTATCTCGGAACCCGATAAGGAAAAAATCTCTGGCGTACACTGTTACGATTCGAATTATAATTTATAATTTATTATAATTATAAATTTATGGATCAAATGTCATCTAAATTATTACAGTAAAAAATTTTAAAAAATAATCATATTTATTTATTTTATTACAATAAAAAATTCACATATTAATTTAAATTAAAAATTTTAATTAACAAATTAAATGTGCTCTTAAAATTTATATTTAATATCAATTATTAAGTCTCCTAATACAATAATTAAAGTGACTATGTATAGCTCACATAAAAAAAATAATAACAAAATAATAATAAGATAAACGACTAATAATAACAAACTAAAATTAAATTAGAAAGCTAAAACAAACAATAATAAAAATATAAAAATGATTACTAATAACTAAATTTCTTGCATCATTGACCTATCAAGTTTATGCAACAAAGAAGAACACCTCTTGTTAAAGAGATGAAGACCTGCTTTGTTCTTTGTTGGATATTTATTTGCCCATATTGGAGTTCGTTTAATTAGTGCAGTATGAGTGGCATGAATTTAAAAATAGCAATTTTCTTTCTTTCTTTTCTTCTTTTTGAAGGGTGAAATTACAAAAAATAAAAGAAAAAACTCACATGAAATTAAAAAAAATAAATAATTAACTCTCTTGTCTCACATTAAAAAGAAACGAAGTCATTATCTCTTTTAAATCTAGAACACCTTACTCCTCATTTAAGACATACCAGAATTTCAGAGTTTCTCCGCCTCTCAAAAAATTTTCTCCCTGTTGTCCCTGTTGAATAAGCATACAAATCCACTTTCTCAGAATAAGTTAAAAAAATCTCTTATTTCCGATTACTTTGTTCATATTTATTTCATAGTTTGCCTAACAGATGAAACCAACCGAAGAAATCTATATCTCCAACGCCGATCTTCTCTTATTGATCCGCCTCCAACGGCGCGGAGCTTATTCTGTGGCTATTCCTAAAACCAATCTTACCAAGTTCGTTGGTGCCAATTTTCTCCTCATCGTCCATTTCATCATCCCTTATATCCAAGCAAGTAGACAACTTAAGCATGCGCTGGCCTTCAAAAGAAAGGTGGCGCTCGCTTCTGAGTAAAGAGTCCGCCTAATTTGAAGAGCAACAGGATGATCCCCAGTGTTTGAATTAGAGCATCAAACTTAGCTTGGGATGAAATGTTTCATCCATGTTTCTTTGGGCTTGAAACTTTTTGTTTTTGCTGTTTTTTTCTCTCTCTTGCTTCTTTGGTGTTTTGTGATTTTCCCTATTAAGATAACTTATTTCATATGTGTCCATATTTATTTTATAATTTCGTTTTTGTATTTCAAATTTATTTTTCACTCACTTGCTCCTTTCTTTGTTTTTTTTTTTAGTTGGCCCACTACATTAGCTTCTTTCCATGAAATTTGTATTTTTTTCAAAGTTTTTCGTGTCATCCTTTCACCTGTTATTTTTTAATTAATGCATTCTGTCTAATTTGTTTTACTTGTCTAATTTCCTTCATATGTGTCCATGCTTAGTTTTTTTAGCTTTTTTTATTTTCATTTTTTCATGCTTAGCTTTTTAGCTTTTTTTAATTTCATTTTTTAAAAGATTCTCTGTAACATAATTCTTTTCCGATGTATTTTTTTTTAAATTGTTTTTTCACTTGCATATTCCCATTGAAATATATAATTTTTCAAATGAGTCCCTACTTAATTTTTTTTACCTATTTAATCATTATTATCTTAAAAGTCATTCTCATAAAAATGTTTGTGTTAGTTGTGTATTAACTAACAATTAATTAAGATCTCTATTATTGAAAAGAAACAATAATACACAATAATTAAATCTAAACACAAGAATGGAACTTACAAAATTACCCCACATACACAGCATGTGGCTTCACTAGTAAAAATAAAAATAAAATTAAAATAAAAAAATCTGCAGATTCAGGTAAATGATGAAAAAAAAAGGAGGCGAAAAACCGTTTCCTAAGAGAGAGAGAGAGAGGCAATTCTTTAAAATCAGCAAAAAGGTCTTTACAAGCCAACATATAGGGAAAAGAAGGTAAATCCGAAATTCCTTGGAAAGTGCCAGTTCGAAAAATAACCAACACTACAAGTTAGCGAACATGTTGCAGAAATGTACACATGCTATGCAACAGAAATCAGATTAGAAAACGACACTGACTATCTCTCTCTCTCTCTCTCGATGGTATATCTACGTGAAAAGATAATCAGTTCTCGTTGTCAGTCATCTAATCTAAGGCAATCTGGAAGGAAACTGATTCTGTTGATAATCACTTGGAACGAACACAGGAAGCTGGCCCCCACTCTGTGATCTACCCCATTGATATGTAGATGAAGTGGTACTTCTTGTCCCTCTGTTGGGTTGTTCATTTACAATGGGCCCACCAAAGAATATGGATTGACCCGTGTAGAGTAGTTCTGTCCCGGAAACCTGAGAAGAAGACAAACCGGCTTCCCTGGAAGGCAACGACACAAAACGTCCAGCTTCTTGATCCCAAACAACGGTTGATCTCATGTTCTCTGCAGTGCTCAAGTTCGTCTTTTTTGCAGGGATTACTTGCGAGACGTTGTCGTTCCCTTTGCTTTGTTTTTCTGAATTCTGGGATGGATCTGTTGACGACTGATAGACGGGGTTATGGTTATCTCTGTTGGTAAACCTCTGAGCAAATGGAGCAGGGTTGAAGCTAGAAACGTGAGGACTGCTAAAACTACTTAAACTTTGCTGACATGCTTCTATATCTTCTCGGCTGGCGCGGCTTGGAGGATATGAACTTTTGGGAGATATCTTGGACGTGCCTGCTTTAGCATTTCTGTTGTGGAAGCCTTGATCAGTACTAACTGGACTGCTCCTTCCGCTGACGCTGCTACTGGATAGATAATCGCCATGATATGCATGATGCTGAGAACTAATTGGACGAAGCACGGATGACGATGCTCTAGCCTTCGCAGCGGCTTTAATTGCCTCACTAGAGTCCAGTTTCGCAAGCTTCCATGCGCTGATACGCGGTACATGCTGTGAAATCTTTTTCCCCTTATCAGGCTGCGGCACTGCATCTGGATCAACTGTTGAGGGTAGACGTCCTGGCTCCAAATGTGGAATTATTTCATCCTGAGAGTACAGGATATAAAACCAAGTGTCAAGTTTATGACACATGAAATGCATGTAATACGAGTAAACTTGCCATACAATAATCATCAGTTCTTTCCCTTTTTTTCCTCGCACAATCATAATAATTTTGATAAAATGTGTTAAATACAATAAAACGTCAGCAAATTTAGATATATAAATAAAGGCATAGGGCCGGAAGAAAAAGAAGTATTTAACACAAAACTCCTAAAGCCTTTTTTCTCTCTGTTTTTTTTTTTTCAACACAAAACTCCTAAAGCCTTTTTTCTCTCTGTTTTTTTTTTTTCAACACAAAACTCCTAAAGCCTTTTTTCTCTCCGGTTTTTGTTTTTTTTTTTTTTTTGAAAAAAAAAATAGAATTCCTAAAGACTGCTAAATGTTGTCTAATAGTTATAGATGATACTTCCACAGACAATAAATTATTAATTTATTTGCAGAACCCCATTACTATTTCATCATTTTCCTTCCCTTCTTTGTCAAGGTTATGAAATGATAGAATCCCAGATAAACATACAATGTTTGCTGAAAATTTTCTATGACATACAATAAAGTAAAAGTGTCCATATATATGAGCTCATAACCTTGGTAGTTACTCAAGGCAATTTGAATATTATTAGTGACAATGAACCGTTATAAACGGAAATGACCTGATTCTGTAGCTACATAATACATGACGGTGGTAGTACCTGGTGGTCCATAAAGATTCTTGGTGGTGTACACCAAGCTCCTTTAAATTGCAAACTCATTCCAAGTGAGCTTCTCCCACTAATGGCAGTCACAGCTGAGCTAGTAGGTGAAGATGGAAGACTTTGGTGATCCCCTCCATCTACAGACGGTCCAGGAGGTTCGCTCTGTGCTCTCATGGCAACAACATACTCATATGTTGTGATACCCTAGAATGCATCATATGAATAATTAGATAAATGGAGATAGAAAGGAGGGCATAGGAGTCCAAGGAACATACCTTTCGAATCAAAATTATGTGGAAGAAGAACAACTCTCCCAAAGGCACGATAGCCAGAAGGGAAATAACAGTACATAGGCCCTGTGTTCATTATAGCATTGTTAAACTTTCACCATAACACCACCAACATCAAACAGGAGCAAAATTAGGAATAAGATAATGAATACTGCGAAGGCAACAAGGCATTAAACAAACCTACCAAAACTATGGCAAAAGGAATCTGGGAGAATCCAACCCCAAGTTTGTCAGCTATCAGCTGGTTCATACCCTTTTTATCAACAAAGCAACGAACGAAAACAGCAATTCCAACCCCACATTCAACAACAAGCTGACAAAGATGGACAGAGGAGACGCTAAAGTTGGTCTAAATTGAGCCAATAAAATGGACTGAAACCCACAATGCAATAGTTATAACAAATCTTCCCCAACCAAGGCTAGCTGCCATAAGGCATACAAAGGTAATATAGTTTTTCCTCCCCACACAGTTATTCAACCACTGCACCAATAAAAAGCGTTTTGAATTACTAATTAGATTACCTAGATATCTCTAAATAATACATTATTTTAGAAGACAATGATGCGAGAAATTAAATGGATTACTGTTTACAAAGCATTGGCCTTACCCGACAGTGATGATCAAACCCGTCAACACATTTATCACAACTTCTACAATGTTTGCTGAATTTCCGTACCTATAGAAGAATAACAAAAACGTTATCAAGTGACCCTGACTTTTCTTCACATCACTTTGGTGTGTATCACCATACAAAAAGACTGCATTATCACTAGCTAGTCAACGTTGGAAAATAAAAAATAATAGAAAAACATATAATTCTAATTTCCTATGTTATTCCACACACTTTATTCCTTTTTTTAAAAAAAGTAAACGTGTTGGGATACATGCTTTAGGGCATTTTGGGGTTGTTTGGAAGGTATACTCAAACCCAAACATGATTTTGCTACAGTATTTTTTATCTCACAAAGAGTTTAAACTCCAAAATTTCCTCTCTCACAAAGTTCCCGCCAATGAACTCAAATCATGATTTGAGTATACCTTCCAAACAGGCCCAAAGGGTTTGGTTTTTGAAGAAGAAAACCGGATTGCTCCAAATTAATATGAGCACTTTACTAGGAAAGTCCGTGTACCTCAGCATTGCACAATGTGCAGAACAAAGCATCCTCTTCAGATTGTTGCTGAAGAAAATCATCTTTTCGACAATCTTCCATAACAAAACAACCACAAAGGAAACCTCCATATTTTGAACAACATGTTGAACTGCGGCTACTATATTTTCCTCCGTTATGAAGTTCCATTTTGCTGGGGTCTCCCACAGAGGACGCATTCCCTATAATCACAGAAATATTCTCAAGTTAAGCTTCTAAATCACAATGGATAGAGAACAAGCATCGCTATCACTTTAGAAGTGCATGTGTTAAAAAAAAAAGAAAAAAAGAAAAAGAAAGTGCTTCAGCAAATTCAAGGCTCCAGCACCAGCATTTCAAGTGAAAGAATCCAGAGCAGAATAGAACAATTTCACATCAAACAGTGTACCCACAATAGAGTTTTCAATCCAATATCCAAGTTTTTAGCTATCCTACAGATGATTCAGAAGTGCATTTTCCACATGTTGCAACCCAATAAACTTTATTGCAGCCAAAAAAAAAAACTAACCAGCCATATCTATGTCATTCTGTGATTTGTAGGTAGATAGCTTGTCAGATTCAATCAGAATACCAGGATCAGCAGGATCTATGGCTGTGCATCTAACATAAAGAATGAAGACGGCCAATGCCTGAACACCGAGACAACAATAAGATTATGGTGATAACCTGAGTGGCAGAGCGAGCAAGAAGCATGATAAAATAAGAAAAAGGATAGAGCTTCTTACCAAGACAGAATAAACACCAATAGCTGCATACTCATAAATATTGTTTCCGAGAAAGGGGGCAAAGAAGGCGTAATATGCGACAGACAGCAAAAAGAAAACTGTTATAGCCACAACCTAAGAACAAAGAAACAAGAATGATATGAGCATGTTCATGTCAATGATAGATAGGCAACCATCTTTAAAAAGAAAATACACACACACACACACACACACATATATATATAAGTACTAACATTAGATAGTCATGTCATGTTGATTCAATATTCTTATATTACTTATGCTCATAACATCTTCCTAAACGGTTATGTTAGCCCAATAGATACTGACATATCAGCAAAACTTTCCATATTTCAAAATGAACCAAAACAAAAACAAAATTAGAATTTAAGTTTCTTCATGACAATTATCTCGACAACCAAAGTATAGGGAAAAGAAAGATTCTAGAAATAACGTTTTGGTCGGACTAGGACGTATCAATCAATAAAACTAGCGCAGATTATTTTCCAAATGAAAACATAAAACAATTTACAAAACAAAAGCTCAGCGTTTATGTTTCACAGAAAGAATCCAAAAGAACAGAATGTGAGAACATCATAAACAGAAAGCATGTAAACAGATCGGAACCAAAACTCACACTGAAGATTAACACTGACATTAAACAAAACAAAGTGAAAATAAAACCCTAATTAAAAAAAAAAAGTGGGAAAAGTACGAGAAAGAACGAACCTGGAAGGTGTGAGCGGGGAGTTCCCATCCATGACGGCGAGCCATGACCGAGAACCAACTCCTCCAAAGCGGTTAAAGACGGCCACCATCTAACAAAAAACCGCAAAATGCGAACCAAACAGGTTCGGAAATAGAAAAACCGGATTTTCGAAACGAGTACTAGTTCAGAACTATCTCATTCTTCTTCTTCTTCTGACGAACAAAATTAAAAACAAAAGTCCTAGGATTCACAGACACGACAATGTCGAGATTCGAATGTCATTGGCGAATCAGGGCTCGAGAAGGTGGTGGTGGAAACTAGGGTTTATGGAGATGGAATCGAGTAATCTCGGAAGAAGAAGAAGAAGAAGAAGAGGAAGAAGACGGAGGAGGAAATTGCTTGGGCTGTGTGTGATTTTGATAAACAGAAGTACAGAACAGGGTTTCTTTTCTTTTCCTTTTCAACTTGAGCTTTTTTTTTCACTTGAAAAAGAAATAAAATATAGAGAAAATATTTTAAAAAATAATTAAAAAGAGGGAAAAAATAGTACGGTATTATATTATTTTCGGTCAATAAATTTATATTAACAATTATTTATTTTACATAATTTTTTAAATTAATATAATTTTAATTAAATTTAACAGTTAAAATTCATACTACCAGTAGAAAAGTTTATCAGAAAAAGTCATTTCTTTTTTTTCTTTTTTAAGCTCAATTCTTTCATAATTTGTCGTTAAATATCAGGACCGTCCACCTAAGATCGTTATTTGGTACGGTGACTCATGGTGATTTAGACCTTTTATGGATTCAACTTGATCTTTCCGTTAAATTGTCAAAATCACAGTGTGGCCCACATAGTCAGTGCAACAAATTAATGGATTTCCCATTAGCGAAAAAAGAGAGTAATAATAATAAACTGGCAATTTTTGTTGATCAGCAAAAAAAACTGACTATTTTTGTAACTTTCAAGTTTTCCTCATCTCAAAGAGGGAAAAAAATTGCTAAAAAAAAAAAAGAGGGGAAAAAAAGTTTCCTAATCTTTCCTTTTACGCAAAAGAAACTTAAAACCCACTCTTATTTTCCCAAAAAAAAAAGGAAAAGAAAAAACTACTCTCATCCTATACTCCTGTAATTAAGTATACTGCAAATAAATCATTAAAACTTCATTTATTTCACGGATATGAATTTTCAATTTAAATTGAGATGTGACATTTTTTAAAAGTTTTTAATTGTAACAGAAAAAATTAAACGTGACATTTTTTGAGAGTTTTTAATTGTAAAAATTTAAAATTTAAAACTTGAATCGGTGAAATAAAAAAATGCCTAATATTACCTATATTTTCACTTGATATAAAACAATTGCAAGGCACAGTTTGACTTGCAAAAAGAAGAAGAAAAAAAAAAGATGCTTAACCTAAACACTAAACAAATAATGTAGGATAGTGTTTGTTCAACATGAACTAAGATTTTTGTCTGGAGGGCTGTGTCGTTTTTATTGCAGATGCTTTAATGATAAAATTTTATAATCTTAGAGGAACGTGGACCCTTCAATAATCATAACACTGACGTGTTTTTCACAATTAGACTAATCATTTTTTTTTATATCTTAATTCATCTTCTTTCTTCCCTTCTGAACCTTCTTGGGAGGAAGTAGCAAAATGCCAAAGGACATGTATTGTGGAAATATTATACATAGTATACCAATTATAATTTAATATTACAAGGACACTCATTATGCGTTTGGCATGTTACGCCTTTTCTTTTTAATAATATATATATATATATATATATATATCCAAGTGGTTTTCGCAAAATTAAGTTTGGTAATAAGAAAAGATGCTCAAAAGCATGAAGACAAAATTAAGTGCTGAATTCAAACGACAAAAATTAATTATTAATACACGATAGGACTTTAACTTTAGCAAAATAAATAAAAATAAAACAAACCAGAGGCTTTTGGAAGAATGGGAAAAACGGATTGGATCCTTCATATATTGGGCTCTAAAACTGAGGTTGGAATTGTGCTCTCTGATCTCGTTTAAGCTTTACAAAGAGTTCACTTTTCTTATGCTTGTAGAAAAAAATATCAATATTTTTGTGTGTTTTTTTTATAGCTAAACCTATTAGTCAGTGAAATATATTTTTCTTCGTAAATTGTTATTAATTCCTAATTCAAAAATAATAATGCACTTATCATGCCACTTATAATATTAGTTCAAGATTAATGCGGACAAAATGCTCGTATGCTACAATAAACCTAAAATGAAATAATTTATAGAAAAAGTTATTGGGCTTCTTCAGTTACATTTTTAAATTATGGTGATTTAAATGTAAATCTTAAGTTAAATTTAAGTTATAATTTGAGTTTGTGTTGTAATTTAAGTTTGTGTTTTAAGTTATGATTTGATATGAGAATCTTTTTGAGTTTGTATTTAGGTGGGTCAAAACTTGAGTGTGTATTTAAATAGTATTTTAATAAAAACTCAATGATAATGAAAAATTTTAATAGGGTATATGGGTGAGGTTTTATTCATTTTTTCATTGTGAACGCATAAAAAAGACTATCTTAATCGGAATTAAAAAGAAAAAGTTATAGCATTTTTAAGAATAGAAAAAATAATGTTCATTAACTTGAATTTGAGTTTAAGAACTTGAGTTGAAGGAAAAACTTGAACTCATATTTTAACCCTAAACTCAAGTTAAAATTTAAGTTTAAACTCAAATTTTACAAAAGAACATGAATTTAAATAAAGTTATAATTTAAGTTTATTTTTATTTTTTAAAAGTTTGAATACAAACGAACAAGTCCTATATAACTTAAACAGCTAGTTAAAGGAAAGTCCTTTTAAACTTTCAAGGCTTAACAAAGGAGAAATCCATGCTGTGAGGTTCTTCCTTGTTGCCCGGTGGTTGATATTGTAAAATAGTGACATGGCCATCGTGTGTGGAACTATCAAGATCGGAGAGATCGGTGTCGGATTGGTATGATCTCGGGGAATTAATAACACTTTCGAGGTCGGATTGAGTGGACCTATGCTTCTGGGCATGGAGCAAATGCAATGGCGATGCACCTTGGCTTGGCGTGTTTTCGCCACTCATAAACCCCGACGAAGATGCATCAACCGAGATTTTCCTCTGTTTCTTTCTCGCCCTCGCAGTCTTTTGCCAATTCTTCAAAGCTCTCGCAGTTTGCTCCTCAAAGATTGCTTGCTTCATGTGAGATCCCATCTGCATACACAATTATTTATGCATGAATCAAAACGTGCACATCTGCTCTCTTTCATTTTAGCAATTCGAGTTTTCAATTCCAGTTTTACTACAGTTAAAAACTTTCACAAAAAGTTACATTTAACTTTTTTACTACAGTGAAAATCTCTCACATAAAATCACATCTCAACTGGAATTAAAAACTCGAATTCACGAACTGAACGAGACCTAATGTTAAGGTATGAAGTTTGAATCCCTTCATCATTTAAAAAAAAAATATATTACGCATTTATTGAATCATTAAATACCTGTGTTATTAAAGCGTAAAGAGGGAAAGTGATGTAACTGCATAGGATTTGCAAGGCTATCCCTAGGAAAACTCTTGCGACCAGAATTATTGGTAAGTTTTCGTGGAAGCATGAAGTCAGTCCAAATTCGTACTGCATTTTTTTTTTTTTTGCATATTAGAGCAGTTTATTAGAGAAGGCTCTTATAGTTGAGAGTTTTGAGGCAAAAATGGAACGATATCTAGATTAAGATTAGTTACTTACCCATGTCCACAAGAAATTTGCCATTTCAAATGCGTTCTGTGCAGCAGTAATATTGCAAAATTATATATGGATCTCATAATAAAATTATATATGAATAAATATTGTAAATTTAACAACATTTGATATATATGGATCTGAAAGCTCAGTTAATTACACAATATTGAGGTTTTTATTTTACCCGGCTAAAAATCATCCTACAGATTAATTGGTTGAAAAGTTAAGTTTGTTTAAGTGATCAGTTGTTATTCACCTGAAATAAAGTAAAATGTATCAAGAGGAGGATCCAATCTGGGCGATTAAACCAGAAATACTTGTTGCTTGGCTCTACTATTGGAGCTCCTTTTACAACTGTACTTCGGTCTTGGATTTCTTGAGCCATCTCCATTATGATAAGTTCCATCTTCGTACCTACTAATAGAAGAATCTGCACAAGCACAACCCAATGAGCTGGCTCTTTAATTAAAACAACTAGCTAGGAAAAAATCATTCCAAGGCATGCTGGTAAAGTTGTATAGGACATCTTAATTTGCTTTTATTATTATTTTTTATTTGCCAATTAGATTGCTTTCTTTACCGTGAGCGGCACAACTGTCAACCAGGAGAGCACGTACCATTCTGCAACAATAGAATCATGATAAAAGATTTATTCAAGGCATTAAAAAGATTTAATTAGTATCGGATGTGAATTTATGTGACTTACTAAAATTAATAGAAGGGATATTAATTCTAGTATTTTTCAAAATGCATAATAGATTTACTTACACATGAGAGATCTTTGTTATTATTTCATTAATATAAATGAGAGAGGTAGGGAGAGGGAGAGAAGGAATTACGGTAGACATTTAGAAGCAAGAAGATTACGGCGAATGTCCATAGAGGTATGCTGCAAAAATCAAGTAATGCTAGTACTGTCAGTGTTAAAGGGAGAGCCTTCCAAGTTCCAAGGAAGTGCATAACTATTTTCGTAATTACCACTATCAAGCTACTCTTAAGTTGCTAATCTTCTAAGATTAGAGCACAACAAATTCATGATCAACAACTTGCTAATCGTCATCAACAAATTCATGATGATTTAACATTATATATATTATTTGGTCTCTACATGTGTTATGTAATGAGACATGATCAAAGAGATTGAAAGAGAGACCTAATACCCACGACTGTTTTGAAGTCATCTTCCATTGATCTTTTTATGTACTTTCGGAAGTCAAATTTACTATTTGGAGCTAAATGTGCCTGCATTTGTCATATATACCAGCTAGCTTGAGTTAAACTTTAAACTTAGGCATAACAAATTTGACAGAAAAATTAATTATATTCCTCTTATATATAAAAATATATATATTTGATTTGAATATTGAAGTAAATTTTAATTTCTGTTCTTTTTTTTTTTTTTTAAATAATGAGGTCTTACATTAATAAATCCATGACGCATGGTCATGTAGTCCACTTTTGTTACTGAACCAAAGAATTGTCTGAAGAATGCCACCTGTAATTATACATTTATCTTTCTAATTAACTGCCAAAATAATTACAGTTCTCGTGCTCGTTTAACCAAATAACAACAACGACAATGACGACGATAACGTTCTAATAATAATAATTTTATTCTTACAATCCATCTAATTCCGGGTATTCTAGAAATGCCAGAGTGACGTTTCACAAAAGAAGTTTGACGAGTAAATCTGAATCTCGTAGGATCTGAAAAACAAAATGAAGGCTCAAAGATCAATTCCTAACTACTTTTAACACAAAAATTTAGTTTGGATGGTCAAGGTCATTAATATGTGATTATAACTGCAATTACCAATAAAACAAAATAATAAAAGATACCATTTGTAAATTGATATTCGAAGGAAGAGGTTTCCAATTCCCATGCCTTCCATTTCTTCATCTGCTCAAAATCAACACGTTACAGGCACATTATCAGCCTTATATATGTCTGATAATACAGAGTCCAAATCTGTTTCCTACAGTGGGCCATACAAAAATTTCACTCATCCAAAGAAAATACTATTTGTCACTCTTATTATGTTGAATATGTTTACTATAAGATAATTCTACTCTGCAGTTACATGTGTGATGCATCACCGATAATGATAACTAGTGACGTATTATTCTAAATTATTACATATTATTGGCTTTTATTTCCAAATAATCTTCAAAAAAACATGAGAAAATTTTAAATCTAAAGATTCCAAGACTTTTAATTTGAGGGATTTCGTTATCATAGTTCATCTTAAAACTTACTTTAGCTCTTGCCAATGCGATGGTGATAACGCTGTAGAGAACATGAAACACAGCCAAGACGAATATAAATATGTGCAACTGATGCACTCCTGTATATGAAATCAATGAAACTTTGCCCTAATTTCCACATGAAAAAAAAGGTAACACAAATTAGCTTCAAAAGTACTAGTCACCAATTATTTAATCAAAACCATAATATATGTGCATATATCATTATTTAATCTTACATTTTTGGCGCAATAGTCATCTTTAGCAGCTGATGCCAAAGCTCTTCGCCACAGAATGTCATCTTCAGCATAAGAAAGTAATTTTCTCCTCTCATTATCATCATCACCACCACCACCATCATTACCTTTCTTCTTTTCAATCTTACATGGAAGCATGACATGTCCAAGATTTGCAGGAATGGCATATTTTCACAATATATTGTGTCCCCACCGTCAATAGTAGAGATATAAACCCCAATAGCATTAGCTCTGTCCAAGAATACTCTTTATATTCAAACTATGTAACAAAACTTTTAAGGAAAATTACCCTACTGATATTGCATAGCTCTGAATCATAAGATTACATCGAAATAACAAATAAAAAATAACTTTAATGAAACTTGATGAAGATTAGATGACAGAGAATTCAGAATTAAACCTTGCATGTGTGTACATGTAAAGTATAAATTTAATGAACTTGAACACATAATTAAACAGTTTCATATAAAAAACTTTCGTGATTAAAACTCGTGTGTATAACATACATATACATATGTGTGTGTGTGTGTATAAGATTTGACTGACCAGCTTTAATTTTCTCAAGGGCTTCAAACAAGGCCTTCTTGTGTCGTTTGTTGAACCACTGTGTATCATCTCAAAATGGGCAAGATTGAGTAATTCAGAAACCATATATATTATATCATGACCAATTTTTCAAACTAAGGTAAAAGAGCAAATATGTGTATATATATATATATATATTATTACCTTTCCAAGAGAATGAATAGCATATTCTATAATTACAGATACTATAACGAAGACAGCACAAACAAGGGCAACTGCCCATGTGGGTGTCTCCTTCAAAGACCTCTCTCCTGGACTACCAACCGCCATAATTCTCTTCCTAAATTGCACTTACTCTAATATGATCTGTTACTTTTTCCTTCAAAAGTAAATCTGCGTTACTTCTTAAAACCAAAAAAAAATAAAAAAAACAAATTGAATGTTCAACCAGCACTTAAGAGATTATAGGATAAATATAAGATGAATAACGCGTTGTGGATTTGGCGTTTTTTGATCATATATATATATATATGTGTGTGTGTGTGTACATATTTACAGAAAATTGTCTTCACATAATGTGTCTTGTTCTGAAACCGGACCGAAAGCTTTGGTTTGGTATTCTGTCTAGTTCTAGGTACACATAATATCAAAATCAGCAAAGGCCGGCTATTGCAGCCAAAGAAAGAGAATGACATTCAGATGTAGGCCTTTTTGCACTTTAATTTAATCTTATAAGTTTTTTTTTTCTTTTTTTTCCCTCCTCATTTTGCAGTTTAGTCGTTGAATTTTTAAAACGCGGTAGCAATTAACCCTATTGTTAGCAGAGCTAAAATTTTTGATGGAAACACTTGTACCTCCTTGAACTTCTTGTGATTCGATAATTTTGATCCTTGAAAAGTTTTCTCATGGGCAATTAACTCCGATAACAATTGGAGTTAATTGTTTGTGTTTCAAAAATTTATGCGCTAAAATAAGACGCCAAAAAAAAAAAAAAGTTATAAGAAGGAAAATATCAACATACACACGACAAATTCAGGGAGTATAACAGTGACTTGTATTGTGGTCGTATGATAATACCAATCATGCTTACGCGTAAAATTTTTTTTATTTGTTTAATTGTTTTTTAATTATCTAATAGTTTTATTGGCGTATAATATTTTAGCATATTGTCCTGCTCGAAAAATACGAAGTATCAGGGTATAATATGTTGGAGTAAAATTTCTGTCAAATACTTATTCAACGTTCCTAGACTAATAATTCGGATCTAAAGAAATTAGAAGAACACTCGAAGAACACAAAGAACCTCTAAAAGAATAACAAAAACAAAATGAAGACAATTGTATTTAGAAATAAGTGTCTGTCATTTCCTCTCAAACTGAGGGAATTTATAGTACATTAGGATTGAAGGAGTTTAATTCTCTCATAAATTCGAGAGTTTATTCTCTCTTAATTACAATGAGACTTTTCACCTTTTTGTGAGTTAAAACTGATAAATAATCAATGAGAATTAACTTTCAACCATTCAATGTATTCAATTAGTGTCGGTTACTTCACTTGATAACATCACGCGACTTTTGAACTTTTGGCTTAGGAGAACTTGGGCTCTAGCGAGCTTGGGCTCGGGAGAGTTTGGCCTCCGACAAGTTTGGGCTCGGGCGAGCTTGGGCTCAGGAGAGTTTGGACTCAGAAGAGCTTTGGCTCGAGAGAACTTAAGCTCCGACGAACTTTTAAATTTATTGCACATTTAATGATTCCGAAAATACCGCCCAACATAACATATACGAGCTTACAAAGTATTCAACTGCCTCGGTAGGTAACCATATCAATCAAATATTAGTTATATCGTGACGCTTTCTCTAGATACTGGTGATGATGGAGAACGGTAGCTTTAGAAGAAACCGCTAACAGAAGAGTCAGTCACTGGACTTTTTTAACAGACATTTTATTATAAATTTGTGCATAAAATCTTCCTACAATCCAAACTTGTTTATATCCAGTCAACAAAAATCGTTGTCGTAATAATATTCTCATTATGCTAAATCGCATGTCACATAGATTATTATCATCGTAATGCAATAAAAATGAAATGAATTTTATGCTAGTAATTGCCATCACCAACAATAAAATCTGAATATGTGGTTTAAACATCAATGAGAATTAGCTTTTGTTAAAATGTAAATATAAACGCAATTAAAAATAAAATCTAAATCTGTGTTTGAATGTGTTGTAAGCATTGATATGAGCAGCTCACCGCCAATAAATTTGACAACAATTTAACTACGTACTATCAACACTGAACCGACTGTGCTATTGTTGTGCTAACAAATATATTGATATTGAAACAATAAAAGTAAAATACCAAAATACTAATGCAAAAATAAAAAGAAAGAATAGGCACATAGCACAAGTAGGGTTTCCTGAGAAAAAAAAAAGATTCTTAAAAATATTTAACAATACCAAAAAGAGAAAATATCTAATAGCCTTATAAAATAAAGCTGAAATTTTTTGTCACATGCTATACTTTTCTAGTAAATTTGCCACCAAATATAACATATGGATAAATTTAGCACTTGATTTTTATTGGTTAATATGGTTATTTTTTCATTTTAATTAAAAGTATTACAACTTTTAAAGTTTAATGATTATAGAAAAATTATATTTTAACATTATAAATAGCGTTATGCATTGAAATATAAATGAAAATAACACATGTTATTATACTTTTTGGTGTCAAATACATAATTGGCATTAATATTTACATTGGAGATGTTCTTATCATCATAATGCTATGATCATCATGTATTGAAAATGATCAATATAAAAATGAAAAGATCATTATTCTAGTAATTACCATTACTAATGCTATGTTTGATAGGATGGATAAAAAAGAAGAAGGAATGAGAAGTAAAATACCTAGGTGAATGAAGTAAAATAATTTTCTCTCATGTGTTTGATAAAAGAGAAAGAAAAGTGAAAAGAAAATATCAAATTTGAGGCATTTTATAATAATACCCCAATACAAATAAAAATATGATGAATGGTGAATGTTAAAATTGTTATTTTACACCTAATTTATTTGTCAAAATTTTGTCATCCTCTTCTCTTCCCAAAGTTGGAAGGATTAAAAATTTGTGAGCCTCACGTATTTTTATTTTCCTTTCTTCTTCATTTCTTCTCCACCAAATAACTTAAAATTCTATTTTTCTCTCCAAAATCCTTCATCTATTTTCTTTTCTCTTTCTTTTCCATCCTACCAAACATTATAAAAGTAAAATCCAAATATGTGGATTAAATAAACGATCAAAATTAGCGTTCTATATATAATTAAAATATAAATCTAAACACCACTAAAAATAACATTTGAATTTGCGTTTAAATCCGGTTGTAAAAATGAATCTGACTAGGAATGAGTTAAAGCGTAGCAAAGGGGTTAGGAATATCCAAATTTAAAGGGGGTTTAGATTCATATTTTCCATCTTTTTAGATTGGTTTGAATTAGAGCCCGAACTCAAATATGGACCTCAATTTTGCAATAAGCGAAATTCGACAGCCAAACATGGGAAAAGTCTAATTCACTTTATTCGAATACCAACCAATTATCTTAAAATGGTATTCCTCTAATTCACCCCATAATTTAAAAAAAAAAATTAAAAAATAACCAAACAAGTTTTTTAACTTGTTTTTTCCTTTTTTTTTTTTTTTTGCTGATCTAAAATTTTTTAATTTGATTCCCATACAAGACAAGATAATATGACTACAATTGTGATAATGGCGACTATAACGAAAACCGCAAGCAACAAAATCATTATGATAATGTTTCGTACTTGTATTATTATTAGTTTTATAATGTACTTTGTACGTATTGTTGTGTTATAAAAATTTAAAAAGTTTATTATTTATTAAATAATGAGAAATTTATTTATACAATTATTTAAGATTTTTTATTTTTTATTTTAAAACGAAATATATGTAAAGATAATAATTAATAAAAAAAATAAGTAAGAATACATTTGAAGAAAATTATTTTAACCAACTAAAAATAAATTAGAATACGTGCAAAAAAAAAATTACTCTCATAAAAATAAAGTGAGAAAAAAAGTGGAGGGATGGACTACCACGTAACAGTCCTATAAGATTAGATGTATAGAAAAAAAAAAGACAATAGGTAAAAAAAAGAGAGAGAAGAAAAATAAAAAAAGGTCAAAAATGGAAAAAGAAAAAAGGAGAGAAATTTAAAAAAAAATAAAAATAAAAATAAAAAAGAAAGAAGAGGCAAACATGTGGTCTCTATATAACCCAACACATAGCCTCCTTAGAAGTTAGGTTTTTGGCTCTTTTAAATATGTAGAGATAGTCTCATTCAGTTCGTCAATTCGAGTTTTCAGTTTAAATTGAGAGTTTTTAATTGTAATAAAAAAGTTAGATGTAACTATTTCTGAAAAATTTTAACTGTAACAAAATTAGAATTGAAAACTCGAATCGGTAGAATGAACAAGTCTATATGATATTGAAAATGATGAAAATTGTTTTAAAAGAAATATATATAAAATAACTAAGATAACTTATATTAATTTCATAGATTTGAACAGAAAACACCCTAACAAGATTGTGATTCAAATATGTAAAACGAATGAAAGAACAAAAAACTGTATTACAAATCTTTCAACTGCATTACAAAACAAACAAACACTCGGAGAAATAAGGAAAGAAGTTATGATATTGGTATTTGTGTACCTTTTTCTTGCTCAGGTTAATCAATAATCAGATATATGCGGCCACATTGCTTAATCACGGTGATTGATTACATTTCATTAATCGAACGGTCTAGATGGCGACACATGTTAAGTTTGATCTAAATCGGCCCTCTGTGACTGTATCACTGTTATGAGTTATCCTTTTTATTTTAATTTTTCTTTAGAAACGCAATTAAATGTTGGATAAAAAAATTCCAATAAGGCGAAGCATAGATAATATCGAAGCCGCATTTGTTTTTCTACTCCTCCCAACTCAACCATCTGCTCTCTCTCTCTCTCTCTCATCTCCACTCTCTCTCTATATCTCTCTCTTTCTCTATCTAGAATCTGTTGGTGTAGACTGTAGGCAAAAACGATGGCGGCTCTTTCCAACTCGGTGATCGCAACAAGGAATCATGGACTCCAGATTTCTTCGGGTAACAAATCCGAAACTGATTATCAATTTTTTTTTTTGGTAATTTTTCTTGACTAGTGAGCGATAATCAGTGGTTATTGAGAGTTTAGGTTTTCTTTGGTTTGAACAATGTGCTTTCGTTCAAGAATTCTTGAATTATAATGTAATTTAGCTGAACTTAATCTCTTGTTGGATACTCGCAAAATAGAATAATAATAATAACAAACGAATATTCTGTTCTGATTAAAGCGCAATTTTCTATATTTTTCTTTGTTAATTTTGGCGGAAAATAGTTAACGAAGCAAATGTTATGCATTTTTTGTAAGATCGTAATGTTATTTAAAATATTACTTGATTTCTGCACATTACCGATTGCCATGCTGAAAATTTGTTGGAATTTGCCTTTGGATGGATTTATGAATTAGGAAATAGCAATGTTTAGGGTTCGGGTGGACTATGGTGTGATTTCTGCTTCTGGATATTTCCGATTAAGACTCAAGAAATTTTGTGGAATTTGCCTATCGAATGGAATTAAGAATTAGGAATTAGGAATGTTTGGTTCACTTAGTGTGATATTTGTTTCTAAGAAACCTTGGTTGTGAAGTTCATGTAAAAGTTTATATTTTTGTGAGATTCTTGTAAAAATTTCTATTTTTGTAATTGGTTTGGCTAGGACCTTCTTTGAAGAGATCCAATGAATTTTTGGGGAGTGCAGTCCCTGCAAACTTGTCGTTCAATTTGAAGCGTGTCTCCAAAAAGTCCTTCGCAGTTCAAGCGGCTTACAGGTATCATATTTGTCCTTGGTTTCTGTGACCCTAATACTTCGCATTTAGATTTTATTCTTTGTGTGTGATTATGGTACGCTGATTGGTAACCCAAAATATTTGAAGTCCTACATAACAGTAGGGATTACTCAAAGAGAAATAACTAACCCCACGTAATATTTTATCTGCCTTTTTAGAAACAATGATCACAATATACCGTATATCCTGTTCAATAGGCAGTTCGTCAGTTAGTGAAAAAGCAACAAAGATGCTATCATGGTAGGAATTTTTAGACAAAATTTCCAATTGACAATTTCAGAGGGATCATGAAATCTGCTCAAAGTTAGAAAGTATGACTAAAGAGGTTTCTAAACTCATCAATGTTTCAATTTCCTTCTGCATGGGCGCTTGTGTGTATTTGTTGTTAGTGTTCCTGCTAACTAAATAAAGAGGAAAGGTTTTTCCCTTTTTCCTTCTCTTGAAGATTTGTTTTTACTCATAGTATTTGGGGGTTGTTATATATGCATGAATGAACTTCTAATATCAGTCTCCTATAATTGCAGTGATGGTGAAAGGCCAAGTAGCGCAGGCATCTTTATTGGTGGCTTTGTTTTAGGAGGAATTATAGTTGGCACACTGGGTTGTGTGTATGCACCTCAGGTGAGACTTGTTTTCTGGAAGTGCATAGAAATGTTGTTCTTTGCAGTCTGAAGATTTTGATTTTGATTGATAAAATGAGAGAATCTGCCATAAATAATTGTAATTTTTCATATATTGTGGCTCGGTAGCTCTTTAGTATTTGGGCCCTGTGGAATTTTCATGTATCGTAGTTCTTTGGATATGGGGTATTGCTTCTCTTCCATGGCCATATGCATCAAATTAGCTTGGATAATTTATGTTCATGACAGTTTTCTGTGTGTAAAAAATTAACAGATCAGCAAAGCATTGACTGGAACTGACCGAAAGGATTTAATGAGGAAACTACCCAAGTTCATATATGACGAAGAAAAAGCTTTGGAGGTAAGAACATGTTTGACGCTGTTTTTCCTTTTATGTAGTTATCTGAACAAATGCTGAGCATCGACTTTTCTTTGAGAATTTATTTGTGTAAAATCTTTTTCATGGTTTTTCTTCTTTTGTCCTTTTCACTTTCCTAGCTGTTTCCAGTTTCCACTATTTTTTTAAGAATTATGTAGCTAGACCTTGTGTGTGTTTTTAGTCTTTGGCTGTTGATTATGTTGATTTACTTTTTTGTATATTTCAACAGAGGCACTTGCCTAAATTACCATTGAGCGATGCTCATGAGACACAAACAGTATAGAATTGTATAAGGGTCCGCTTGCTTCACGCGTTTGAATCCATGATTCTGATTCTGCTATAGTTGTTTTCTCTCACAAAAAAATTTGAATAAAAAAAGTTCCCGTTAATGGGTTCTCTCACAAAATTTGAATTCAGAATCAGATTCTCGAGCTTAAATGTGTGAACCAAACGGGCCAGAAGTATCCCAAAATGGAATTTTGTGTTCTGTTACAGTGTGAACATAATCACCTAAATTTTGTATGATTTATGAGAATATTTTCTTGTGATGCTTGTGTTTTCAGAAAACCCGAAAAGTATTGGCTGAGAAGATTGCACAGCTGAACTCTGCCATAGATGACGTTTCCTCTCAGCTCCGAACAGAAGATGGCCCTAACGGAGTAGCTGTGGGATCGGATGAAATTGAAGCTGCCATATAAGTTTACTTAGAGTTGCAAGTTTGCAATATGGTACCAGTTCCAGACTTATGAAATGATATCCAAACCTTCTTGCATTACTTTCCTATGTCTCCTGAATCAATATAGATGTTCCTTTCAAAGCACAGCTCTTATCTTGGGAATATAGATTTTTGCTGATCTTGTGATCCCAGACTAGTTAAAAATTGAACGGTGTACTCACTTTTTCTTGCTTTATTTCCCTCTGTGCATATTATAAAATTACTTCAGCCTGAAATTTAGAAGGGTTTTCGCCCTTTTTAAGATGCGACAGTTCTGTTTATAACTTTTTTTTACCGGTTAGTCCGTGGATTTTAATTTTTTCTGACAGTAGGTTTTTGAAATTTAACACGTAGTCATGGGTCTATTGCGCAATAACTCACAATTTTACAAGAACAGTTGTATTTGTAAAATTTGAAGTTATCATGCAATACAATAGACATGTGAATATCTTTGTTAAATTTTAAAGTCCACCTTTTTTATTAGGGATCTATCGTTTTGATTAGTTACCAAAATTGTTAGAAGTATTAAATTCAAGGTTTAATTTGCTAAAATTCTAATTCAGAATGATTTGAATTATTCGCAAGCGTACGTTTAGTTGGTAGATTTGTACCATGATTTGAATCATGGTTCGTGATTTGTTACAATATTTTCTCTCACAAAAAATACACGTAAATCGAAAATGATTTTAAATTCATAAATTAATGAACCAAATCTGAGAGTTTCTCTCCCCAGCTTCAACAAATCCCTTGTTGATTTCAGTTTCATATGAGTATGAGAGGTAACAGAATAGTGAGTACATACTTTAGAAATTTGATTTTACGACTACCAGCCTACACCACCTTAAGACAGACTTTTCAGTTGGTTCTTACGTATCATTTTGTGACTTGAAATTTGAATGGATCAGAACCCAACATGCATACTCCAATCCTGATAATTAGTTTTTTTTTTTTTTTTCCACTAGATAATAAATTTATGAAGGAACTTATGAATACTGACTGAATGACTATCAATGAGACAATGACTACTTGGGTGGATCCCATCTCAAATGGCTTCCACCAAAACAATTATGAGATTTTTCTCTCTCTATTTTTTTTTTAATATAAATTTTAACTCCTAAAGATGTTGTTTTGAGTTGGCATAATGGAAAATCAGCGTGATAATACTTAGAACTGCAAATTTAGACCAGGCTAGTGGGTCGGGCTGAGGCCCGTCACTGTTTACCCGAGCTCGTTTTGAACTTAAGGCCGAATGACGACCCTCTCTCCTTCAGGGTAGGGTTGGGCCGGCCTAAACATTATGGGCTTGTTCTTTTAAGTGAAAAATTTAAAAAAATACCACTCGAGTTACAATTTTATTCGAGTTCATGTTCTTTTAAGTTTAAACTCGAGTTTAAGTTTTCCCTTCAACTTGAGTTCAGAAACTCGAACTCAAATTAATGAACAGTATTTTTTTTATTCTTAAAAATGCTATAACTTTTTCGTTTTAATTCTGATTGAGATGATTTTTTTTTCTATGCGTTGACAACGAAAAAACGAATAAAACCCGACCCATATACCCTATTAAAATTTTTCATCAGCATTGAGTTTTTTTATTAAAATACTATCTAAATACAAATTCAAGTTTTGACTCACTCAAACACAAACTCAAAAAGATTCTTATCTCAAACCATAACTCAAATGTACATAACCAAACACAAACTCAAGTTACAAGTTCAACTCAAGTTATAACTTAAATTCAACTCAAGAATTATACTCAAGTTAAACTCCAAAAGAACAAGCCTATATTTTTAAAGATTTTTTAAAAAAAATACCTTATAAAAGTTTAGGCCAGCCCAAATTTTCCTCTCAGCCTAAACTTATACTTCTAATAATACTGAACTTTTTAGTCATTTTATTTGATCCTTAATTTTCTTTAAGCAGACAATCGCAGAATTTACTTTTCTAACAGCTTTTGGTACTTAGCCTTAAAATTTGCAAGTAGTGTTCAGAAGTAATGACATGGTCATTATCGCGGAACATGAAACATATGATTTTCTAATGAGATCAGCCTCTCAATATTTTATACCTGAAGGTTTGTTCAGTAAAATGGCAGAGATATTATCCTCGAAACAAAAGCATTTTGCACCATCCACCAATGATTTATTTTCAGCCATAAATTCTTCCCAACAAAAAATCTTTAAAAAAAATGGATGCGAAGCTTTCTAGCTCACTTGACTTTGTTCTTCATGTTGAACGATTGGACACCTACATTTTGACACACATTTAAGCAGCACACAACATGAACCACAACAATTGTGGCTACTACGACCTTTTGTCACAAGAACTTAAAAAAAAAAAAGAAAAAAAAAAAGAGGGTATTTCGGGAAAAGGCAAAAAAGGGGGGGTGAATGAATGATCTGCGGTTCATAATTTTTTCAAGTTTCAGGCTAAAAAATCATGACCTTATCTTGTATAAATCTTCTGATTCCATTCTCACCACACATTTCCCAAACACAAATCGCCACCATAATTTGAAATAGAAAATAAAAACAACAACAACAAATTAAGGGGAAAGTTCTCAGTAATAACTATCAAAACGAATTCAAGAATCAACTCATATAGCTTTTACTAGTTTTTTTTTTTTTTTTTTTTTTGTTTGAAAGCAAGCCATGGCCTCCCACGCAGCTCTTGCTGCTTCTTCAAGAATCCCAACCAACACAAGGCTTCCTTCCAACTCCAAGCCTTCTCACTCCTTCCCAACTCAATGCTTCTCTAAGGTATTAATAAGATCCTTTCTCTTCAGTCTCTTAACAAAGTGGTCATTTGTCACAAGTCATGAACTTGTTTTAACTAAATATATTCGTAAAAATCTTTTTGGCTCAACAGAAACTAGAAGTTGCTGAATTCTCTGGTCTAAGATCCAGTTCATGCGTGACCTATGCCAAGAATGCCAGAGAGGCCTCCTTCTTCGATGTCGTGGCTGCTCAACTTACCCCCAGAGTATGCCTTTAACTGAATCTCTATCTCAAATTATTTGCGTCTACCATAACAAGTTTGGCGCAGTCAGAAAACTTTTTCAGTGGAGACACAACATAACGAATATATATATATATATAGATATATATAAAGTTTATTAAAAGAAGATCTATTCATAAGTTTCTATTATTAGGCAGCGGTGTAGTTATAATTTTTCTTACTAAGCTGGATTACAATTAAAATTTTTCAAAAATTTTTATATATAAGAATTAAATATTTTAAAATCTGAATGGAGACGTGGTATAGCTTAGGGGATGTTTGTTTCTTGTATTCGTCTCTGATTCTGAATTATGATTCATGGTTCTCTACAGTATTTTTCTCTCATAAAAAACACACGTAAAACGAAAATAATTCTGAATACATGAACTAAACGTCCACTTAATATGCACATATGCATCATGCATGTCAATCCAATTTCTTATAAGAACATATAGGCCGTGTTTGGAATTGATTTTATTTTTGTTTTTCACGTTTTTTGAGAAAGAAAAAATGAAAACGGGAGAGAAACGGCGTTTGACACAATTAAAGACAAAAAAAAGGAAATAAAAACAATTGTTTGGTTTAATGTAAAATGGGAGAGAAATGAAGAACGACTTTTAGTCGTTTTTCATTTTTGTTTCCGTTTTCTCCTCTCTCAAGCACGCAAATAGAGAAAGAGACATTAATAGATTTTTGTATACTGAAAACAATCTCTTGATAAAACTATCAAACACATTTTCAAAAATAATTTATGTCTGAGATTAAAAACATTTTCATTTCTATTTTCATACAAAAAATAAAATCATTTTGCAACGAGTTCCAAACACACTCATAGTTTTTGAAACAATCTAGACATATGTGTCCTATATGTGATATATAACATATTCATTGTTCACATAGTATCTATATGTGATAAAGATGTTTCTTAAAAGGTTTTATAAAGGCGTTAAATCTAAAGTGAACATTAGTCCAGCCGATTGAAATGCTAATTCTAGGTCAAATTACTGATATGGAACTACACATCTCCTATTCAGACTGCAGGATCAGCCCCTGTTAAGGGAGAAACTGTGGCGAAATTGAAGGTTGCAATCAACGGATTTGGACGCATTGGCAGGAACTTCCTCCGGTGCTGGCACGGCAGGCAAAACTCACCACTCGACGTTATCATTGTCAACGACAGCGGTGGTGTCAAGAATGTGAGACAAAACACTTGTTATACTCTTTTCTTGCAGAAGAAACTTAGGAGCACGACTACAATTAATACAACCCTTCATTTTTTGTTTGTACATACATCTCAAAGTTACGGTTAAAACGATCTGGACCATTGAAAGATTTGTGATCATTTTAACGGTCGTCCAATAGCTGAAACACGAGATGTGTGTACAGCTCAAAAACAAGAGTTGTAACTTAGTCACGTCCTAAACTCAGTAATAATGGTAATGATTAGACTAATTGATTGATGAACATAATAAAACAGGCATCACATTTGCTGAAATATGACTCAATGCTTGGAACCTTCAAAGCAGACGTGAAAATTGTGGACGACACCACCATCAGCGTTGATGGCAAGCCCATCAAGGTTGTCTCCAACAGAGACCCCCTAAAGCTTCCTTGGGCTGAGCTTGGCATTGACATTGTTATTGAGGTTAGTAAAGTTTCTTTCCATAGTAAAATCCTTATTCCACAATTCCACATCAATTTTTCAACAAAAAACAATGTAAACAAAATGAAACGAATTATGTTAATAACCTAAATTTACAAGATAAAGTGCGTAAATAAACTGAGGCTCGTTACAACTTACAATAATACAAGTCAACACGAACACGACATTATCATCTAATAATTTATAGAGATCATATTGATTGGAGATCTTATTAACATAATTAGACAATTGGACCAACAGGGTACCGGAGTCTTTGTCGACGGCCCTGGTGCCGGAAAACACATTCAAGCTGGTGCGAAGAAAGTTATCATCACAGCTCCGGCCAAAGGTGCCGAAATCCCAACTTATGTTGTCGGTGTAAACGAACAAGATTACCACCACGACGTTTCCAACATTGTTAGGTCTGACCTCTTCTTCTAATATTCATGACTATCTTCTAGTTACTTTATTCAACAATTCAATTAGATGCTCCAAATTTCATTTCTGCATGCACTTTTTTAATGTGTGTTTCCATGGTGCTTATTGCAGCAATGCATCTTGCACCACAAACTGTTTGGCTCCTTTTGTGAAGGTCTTGGATGAAGAATTTGGTAAGCATTTGCTCAATTTTTATAGTCTAAAAACATTTTGTGTTTGTCCATTGTTTGATATAAGGAAGTCTGTTCCGGTGAAACTAATCTGAGACCTTCATTTTTTATTTTATTTTAATGCAGGCATTGTCAAGGGAACCATGACAACTACTCACTCCTACACAGGAGACCAGGTAATATAATTCAGTCATCAAAATCATTTCATACAATTTGAAAAATGCTTAATAAGTAGAGAAAATCACAGAAGTGAAATTTATAGATATTTAACTTTGTATTCATAAAAATTATAATAGTATATTGAATTGAAGGAGGTCGCCATGTTAACTTTGACTAACTCTGGCATTAGGGATAGAATTGTTAAAAGATCAACAATTCGGACATTGTATTTACCTTCAACCCGAAAGAAATTTTTTTTTTTTTAATTTGTGTTAATAAGTATGATAAAACAGAGGTTTAGTATAGCCTAAACTCACTTTTTTCTTTTTCTCCTTTTGGCAGAGGCTGTTGGATGCATCACACAGGGACTTGAGGAGAGCAAGAGCTGCAGCACTCAACATTGTGCCCACAAGCACTGGAGCAGCCAAGGCTGTGTCTCTAGTGCTTCCCCAACTTAAGGGCAAGCTCAACGGCATCGCGCTCCGTGTACCAACACCAAACGTCTCGGTTGTGGACCTTGTCATCAACGTTGAGAAGAAGGGCATCACCGCGGAAGATGTCAATGCGGCCTTCAGAAAGGAGGCGGAGGGGCCATTGAAGGGCATCTTAGATGTCTGCGATGTCCCTCTTGTGTCGGTTGACTTCCGTTGCTCTGATGTCTCTTCCACCATTGACTCTTCCCTCACCATGGTCATGGGTGATGACATGGTCAAGGTCGTTGCCTGGTACGACAACGAGTGGGGATATAGGTGAGGATTGATACTTGGCTCTATATATCTCATTACATGAATATTATCTTGTTTCAGTATCTAACATGAATTGAGATGATAACACTAGAGGTGCAATGGCTTTAAATAAATAAATAAAGCCAGAAATATGACAATTTCTCGGTTTAGTACTCTTAACATTGAAGTGCAACATTGTTACGCTTTGTTAACATGATTTTTAGCCAATTTCGATTCATATGTCAACTCTAAGACTCGGAGATTATTGTTGTACAAAAAATCATGAATTTTTCAAATGTGAAATTAAAATTTCTTTTTGGTCTAATTCATTGTGGAATTTGCAGCCAAAGGGTGGTAGATTTGGCACACTTGGTGGCGAGCAAGTGGCCGGGATCAGGGACGGGAGGAAGCGGGGACCCATTAGAGGATTTCTGCAAGACCAACCCTGCTGATGAGGAGTGCAAGGTCTATGACGCTTAAACCACCTCTTTTTTGGGCTAATTCTCTTCTTGTATTGTCTATTTGTATAGGGGCCAACTCAACTCAACTTTTCTTTCCCTTTTTTAGTTTGTTTCTTCTCGGACATTCAAAGCTTACCCCTTTTGTAATGGAATATCCATCCAAGAGAAGGACTAAATTTACCATTTACTAGTTTCACATATAAATTTGAGAGGTTTCCGCGTCATTTGTAATGGTCATTTGAGATAATGTGTCGTCACTGGAATTATATGACACGAGGATTTATTTCATGCAATTTTCATGGTTTGATTATTACAAGCCATCCATATTTTTTCATTAACGTGGAAGGAAAGATGTTTGTTCACAGACTCACAGTTAAAACAAAATACTAGTAAAATATATTTCAGCCCCCATTAATCCGATGAAATTGAGTTCAAATGAATATTTTATTCTTGAACTAGCAGTCCAACCCCACAGCCACCACCATGAACACCTTGGACTCGAAAAACTGACCAAACCGACCATGAACACTTCTACTCTTTGCCCTCGCAGTGGTCCTCCCCTCCCAATGCAAGCGCACGCACCCCTACGATGGCTCCCACCGCGGTGTGAGCCCATCAGTGGTACCTACTCACTTGTTTGAGCTCCAGGCACGGAGGGACTATATCCCCCACTGGGAAAATCAGGAAAACTAATTTCCTATATAACCTCCTATTATCATGCCTCCTTATAACCATTTGTGCCCCCACTATCTATTTTTCACTCATTTTCAAATTAAACTTGTGGCGACCCACCCTCTCTTCTTCGTAGGAGGCTACCACTGTAGCTTAACTTTTTAATTTATACTTATTTAAGCTTTTTTAAAATTTATAGAACATTTTTTTTTATAAAAAGGAATAATTTCATAATTCGTAATAATAATTTTTAAAAAAATAAATCACTAAATTTCTTAAAATTTTTCTTAATTTCAATTAATAATAAATCAATAAATTACAACTCAAGTCTTATATTATACAACCAAACACAAACTCAAAAAGATTTTTATCTCAAATCATAATTTAAATGTACACAATCAAACACAAACTCAAATTACAATTTTATCTCAAGTTATAACTCAAATTTAATTCAAGAACTACACTCAAGTCACACTCTAAAAGAACAGTCTCTTGATATCTTTTATCTTTACATCTTCTTCTACAATGGCATAAAATGTGAATGCATTTTATTATTCATCCTCTCACAAAAACACTATTCAAATTCTTAGGGTGTGTTCATTTGCACAATTCAAGTTATGACTTGAGTTATATATGTAAGAGAAAAACATCATAATAAAAAAGTTAAATTTAAATTTTTATAAGAAAAAATAATGTAATAATATGATTTAATCATTATTTGAGTTTATTAATAAAATATTTAACAATCAATATATGTGTGTTTTTTTTTTTAATTTTTCGGGAACTCAGAAACTATGGGAGTATTTATATGTAATTAAACTAAAATATTGGAGCTTTACCCAAAAAAAAAATATTAGAGGCTTACAGGTGTTTTCCAAAAAAAATATATATCCACATTGGATAATTTAGATAACGTGGTAATATTGAACTTTTAATATTTAAAGACCATTCATTTCACCGATTTAAATTTAAAATTTATTACAGTAAAAAAATTTTAAAAATAATTATATTTAATTTTTTTATTATAATAAAAAAATTTTCATATAAAATTATATCTCAATTTAAATTAATAAATTAAAAGACATTTAATTTATAAATTAAAATAATAAAATTAGAACTATTTTCAATTTATGCCTAAAAATTCTAAACGACCGTAATTCAGCACATGGTGCAAAAAAACATATGATGCTTCACATTGAATCTAGAAGATTTGACCCCCTATAGATTCCCGTTGGCAGAACAGAAGGAACCAGATCATCCGCCGCCGACGACAAATTTCATCTTCAATCCTCGCCAATTCTCGAACAGTTCTGACAAAACACTCCGATCTGAATTCTGATTTCTCGTTTCTCTACCCTACGATTGCTTCCCAAGCTCGAAATCCGCAAATTCCCTAATCCCAATCTGGCTCATCAAAAACCTAATTTCCCATTTCAAAGCTCCGAATCAAAACCCTAACTCATGAGACGACCCCTCATTTTCCTTCTTCTGCTTTTCAAGATCGTCATCGCTTCGTTCATTGGATGCTTCGCGGATTCCGACACCTCCGAGACCTCGCTTTCCAACACCCTCAAACCCTTCAATTCTCTCTTGCCTCCTTCTCCGTGAGTACAATACATTCAATTTCTTTACTTTTTAGTGATTTCTATGGAAAAAGAAATGTTAATTTTCATTTTGTGATTGGTTCAGCAAGAATGATGTAGCTCTGGTAGTTGATCTGGATGGGAAATTTTACTTAGTGGACGCGAATTCAAGGAAAGTTCTTTGGGCGCGGCCGTCGGGAGTGCCTATATATTCGTCGTATCAGAATATTACCAGCCATCAGAATGGTACGACTAAAGACAATAATAATGGATCTGAACCAATCAACGACGCTTTTCTCGATTTTGGTGACGATGGTCAACTATATGTTTACAGCAAGCACCATAAACAAGTATGCCAATTGACTTTAACAGAAATCACCTTCTATGATTTTTGGTTTAATTTCCTATATTGGTAGTTAGTGGGTAATATATACATTTCATGTGCTCAGAATGAAGGAAGTAAATTTGGACAAGTTGTTAGTATTGTCAAAAATTTCCAATATCATCATTATGTATAATGTAAATGTGCTATATAATTTGTACTGATATAAAGCCGATTTCATTGTTGCCTTTTAAAGTAATTTCTAATGATTTTTCTATAAATTCAAACTGTTGTGTTTTTGTTGACCGATACAATATTGTTTTTTTATCGATACTAATATCGATGTTTCTATGAATTCAAACGCTTGATGTTTCTGTCAACTTTGCTTGGATTTTGTTGTTTTTTTTTTTTGGGTAAGCGGCTTTAATAAAGCGTGCATTTAATATTAGTTTCTGTAAACCTAAAGGTTGCTTTACATGATAGATGGTGTTTTTCATGCTCCAGAAATTTCCAGAGAGTATTGATGACTATATCAAAAATACTCCAATTATATCGAAAGACGGAGAAGTCACGTTAGGATTTAGGACAACCACCGTTTTTGTTGTCGATGCCAAGTCTGGGAAGTTGATTCGTACATATGCAGATTCTCCTTCCTTGCGGGGTGTTCAGAACGGTGAAGAAAAACAGGTTGTGTTGAAGGAAGATATCGAAGAAGAGTTGGTAGAGTCAGATGCTAAAGACTTGAAAACAGTTGAGCAGCAGCTCTACATCACGAGGACAGATTATGCATTGCAGCACTATGCTCCAAACAGCAATCAAATTTTATGGAATTTGACATTCGCTGAATTTGATGCTGCTTTTCGATTTTTCGGTTCTGGAAATGAGCTTGGTAATTCCAAATCGGCCTTGTGTCATGAGGTTAAGCCTGTGATCTTTCAGATTCGCAATAGTAGGTTGAGGGGTCCTCTTTCTATATTTGATAGACTAGTTGGTGCGCTTCCTGGAGGCAGACCACTTCCTTTGCCTGCTCCGGAATACAGCCTTGCCCCAGTGGATTTTGGCCAAATTCAAGAAGCTTCCAGAAGCACTCCGAGCAGAGAAGTGCTTGCCTTGACTTCTCCTGAGACGGAAGATTTGGGGATCTCGGGTAGAAACAGTAGTGGCATTAGTGAAATGATTTTCCCGAGCACATTAGCTGAAACTATTGTGAGGTTTCATTCACGGTATCTTATCCCATTCCTATATCCTCTTCTGTCCGTTGCATCTGCATGTTTTATCCCTTACCATTTCATGGTGTCTAGGGAGCAGAGAAAACAAAATAAGTCAGATGAGGAACCTAAGGTTCCCAAAAAGAAGAAAAAAGGGAAATTGGGAAACAAGAAGAGTAATGCCAGTAACGAGAAAAGCCCGAACTATAGCTCAGATGACCACATACACTCTGAAGGAAGTGACAGAAAAGCTCTGCTGACATTTACTGAGCTTGTGGATGATTGTCGTAGGATTGGTAAGTTAGTCGTTTCAAAGAAAGAAATTGCTAAGGGAAGCAACGGTACTGTCGTACTCGAGGGATTCTACAATGGTCGTTCAGTGGCTGTTAAACGGCTTGTTCGGACTCATCATGATGTCGCTGTGAAAGAGATTCAGAATCTTATTGCCTCTGATCAGCATCCAAATGTTGTCCGTTGGTACGGAGTCGAGCATGATCAAGACTTTGTTTATCTTTCTTTGGAGCGTTGCACTTGTAGCTTGAATGACCTGATCTATCTGTATTCTGAATCTTTACAAAGTCAAGTTAGCACCAATGGTCAGAATTCTAAATTTTCTAATGAATACACTCTTCGGTTACATGAAATAATGGAAAAGAACAAAGATATTAAGTTGTGGAAGCCTAATGGGTACCCTACTCTCCAGTTGTTGAAATTGATGAGGTTAGTTAAATTCGCTTCTTCTTCTTCTTCTTCTTCTTCTTCTTCTTCTTTCCCCTTATTGATTTTTCTTGTACAGAAGTTATAAACTCGCTCTTCTAGGTTTCTATCTTTAGTTCCTATAATGTCACTTGACGAGTTTGGCAGACACTTGAATTCAAAGTATCAATGTTTTTGTAGGGACGTGGTTTCTGGGATTGCCCACCTGCATGAACTTGGAATTATACATCGAGACTTGAAACCTCAGAATGTTTTGATAAACAACTACAAGGACAGATTTTTAAGTGCAAAACTTTCAGATATGGGTATCAGTAAGCACCTTCCAGGGGATAGTTCTTCCATAACCCAGCATGCTACTGGTAGGCTTCTTAAACGATCTGAATTGTTGCTCAAACTTGTGACAATTTTTTGAAAAAAAAGAAAAGTATAATAAAATTCTAGCTGGTGCATTATATGATACCAATATTCTAGCTTATATCTCATTTGTTTTCAAACAATAGGTTACGGTAGTTCAGGCTGGCAAGCACCTGAACAACTTCTTCAGCAGCGTCAAACACGTGCGGTAGATTTATTTAGTTTAGGCTGTGTTCTGTTCTTCTGTGTCACTGGGGGAAAGCACCCATATGGTGATAATATCGAACGCGATGTAAACATCGTGAATGACAGGAAAGACCTTTTCTTCATTGAGAATATGCCCGAAGCTGTTGACCTTTTTGCTCGTCTCTTGGATCCCACCCCTGATTTGAGGTAAGTCACTCTCCCATTTTGTCTTTGGAATTCAGGTCTTGTTTAGTACAAGGAAAATGTGGAAGGAGTAATTAGAGTGTGAGGATGGATTTAAGACTTGTGAGTGTTAGTTTGGTGGGGTGATTAATGGAGGGAATTAATTGGGTGATGGATTTATAATACTCCAAGGGACTTTAAATTTGATCATTCTAAACTTGAAAGCATTGGAGAAGAGAAACTTACTAAACATAATAAAAAAGATTCTTCATTATGTCTCGTTTTCCTCACCTAGTTGTTGCAACTTTTCTTACTATTTATTTTCCTTTCTAACAAACAGAGCATTAGAGGGTATAATAAGGTTCTTCATATGATGACTGTCTCTAATGCTGTATGTATTGTAGGCCAAAAGCCATGGATGTGCTGCATCATCCTTTCTTTTGGAGTCCTGAGATAAGACTCTCATTTCTGCGAGACGCCAGTGATCGGGTCGAACTGGAAGATAGGGAGAATGATCCCCAACTGCTGAATGCATTAGAGAGTATTGCCGTCGTTGCATTAAATGGGAAATGGTATGAAAAATTGGAAGCCGCGTTCATCAACAACATTGGTCGGTACAGGCGTTACAAATATGATAGCGTCCGCGATTTGCTGCGTGTGATTCGGAACAAGCTTAATCATTACCGGGAACTTCCCGGGGAAATCCAAGAACTGTTAGGACCTGTTCCTGATGGATTCGATAGTTATTTCTCGAATCGATTTCCAAGGCTCTTAATCGAGGTTTACAAGGTTATGCTCTTGCATTGTGGAAAGGAGGAATTCTTTCTCAAGTATATAACAAGTAACCTAATCTAACTTGTAAAAGAAATTGTATCATATCACATAAATTTATAGTGGAAATGACTAATGTTGCGAGTGTTTCAGTGTATGTATACTAAAAATGTGTTGTATCTTCATTATCAGAGAAAAAAAAAAAGAAAGAAAAATTCCCATCTTTTTTTTTTCTTTCCTTTGAGAAAGAAAATTTTATGCTCCATTTGGTACGAGAGATAGAGAGGATCAGGGATGAAAAGAGTTGGAAAGATAAAGGTCTCGTTCATTTCGCTGATTCGAGTTTAGAATTTGAGTTTTACTACAGTAAAAAGCTCTCACAAATAATCACTTTTAATTTTTTTACTACAGTAAAAAATTTTCACATAAAATCACATCTTAACTCGAATCAACGAACTAAACGGGTTCAAAGAATGTGAGGAGTTGAGAGGATTATGATAATCTTTTTATTCTTGTGTTTAATACGGGATGGAGAGTTAAAAAGATAAATGAATAAATATTTATTTTATTATGTTGTTTTTTTACTAATTTCATACTAACTTTTTAAGGATAAAACGGCCTTTTTGAATTTTTAATGAGTGGAATATATGAATTATTTTAGTAGAGGAGAGATATAAAATAATAGGACCGGGTGGAGAGAGAGTCCCATTCTCCCTGTCCTTGTAACCAAACAAAAGATTGGGGCGGGACTCTCTCCGCCCAGAGTGAGAATTTTTTTGTACGGGAGATGATATGAGCCAATCATGGACCATGCTGCGATGAGGTAGATGCCATTAGCAAGCAAGTAATAATGAAGGTGCCCTGTGTCTTTTGAATTTTGCAAATCGTACTCTCAACAAGTGGGACCAAATGCTCAGATTATGTTTTCGAATCTTTGACTGATGTGCCAATTATGAGCGGCGCTTAGTCTAATCTAACTTTAACTAATACGAAAGATAGTTTAACCAATTAGAAAGATCAAAACCTTTTCCCTATAACCCAAAAAAAAATCAAAACCTAAACAAACTTTCGATAACATTACAAAATTTTCCGAGCTAAATTTTGTATTTTCAGGAATTAGAAAATTTTATTCTCAGATTGATTTAAAACTTTTGTTCTTTGACACTTTTTATTTGACTTACAATCTTATAATTTTGAATAAAAATATCAGATTTATCTTGACAAATACATTTGACATTACACTTGTAATTCTTAAAAACATAAAATCGAATATTGAATTTTACTTGAGTTTCATGTAGAATTTTGCAATTTTTCATTTTATACTTTTAAGACATTGGCAAAAGTCTTAATCAAAAGTCCACCCTTAATCACTGGGCAAAGCAAATCTTGTTCTCTTTTCCCCATTTTTTGCTGTCAAACACTTTTTATCCTTTTGCCTATAATGTTTCACACCCCTTGGCAGTGGGTCTAGGTAGTAGTAAGTTAGTAACACTCCAAAACACATCACAAACCACAACCTACCAACATGGTTACCACCACCGAACTCTTTCTCCTCACTTTTGCTCTCCTCATTCACACCACATTCTTCTCCTCCTCGGTCTCCGCCGTGGGCGTGAACTACGGCACCCTCGGAAACAACCTCCCCTCGCCGAAAAAAGTGGCGGAGCTCCTCCAATCCACCCTCATCAACAAGATCAAAATTTACGACACCAACCCCGAAATCCTCCAAGCCTTCTCCAACACCGGCATTGACCTCATCGTCGCCGTCGAGAACTCCCGCGTCTCCAACATCAGCTCCGACACCTCCGCCGCCGACCAATGGCTCTCCACCCGCCTCCTCCCCTTCATCCCCGCCACCTCCGTCGTCGCCATTGCCGTCGGTAATGAGTACTTAACCACTTCAGACGAAGGCTTTTCCCCCGATCCCGATGTCCTCATCCGCGCCATGCGCAATCTCCACTCCGTCCTCCTCGCCCGTGGCCTCGACCGGAAGATCAAAGTCACAACTCCCCACAGCATGGCCGTCCTCTCCTCCTCCTTCCCTCCTTCCTCCGCCACTTTCGCTCCAAACCTCGCCGATACCATTTCCGCTATTCTCCAATTCTTGGTTGACACTCGCTCACGGTTCATGATCAACGCCTATCCCTACTTCGCCTACCGGGACAACCCCGAGACCGTGAACTTACAGTACGCTTTACTGGGAAACTCTTCGACTACCGTGAAGGACCCGAAGGGATACGTGTACACGAACATGTTAGACGCACAAATGGACGCTGTAAGATCGGCGATAAACTCTCTAGGATTCGGGAACAGGTCGACCGTGAAAATAACCGTGTCGGAATCCGGTTGGCCATCAAAAGGAGACGTCGGGGACATCGCGGCGACGAAAGAGAACGCGAAGGTCTACAACAGTAGACTGATCCAGCGCGCTCAGTCGAACAAAGGGACGCCGATGAGACCGAGGGACAACATCGAGATATTCGTGTTCTCGTTGTTCAATGAGAACAAGAAGAAAGGCGGCGAGACGGAGCGGAATTTCGGGATGTTCAACGGGGACGGGTCGAAGGTTTATGAGGTGGATTTGAGATGCGACTTTTGCGGAGGGACGACGACGACGTCGTTCGGGTTCGGAGAGAAGGACCAGAGGAATGGCGGCGGAGGAGGAGGAGCGAGGGCGGGGCCGTCGGTGTGGTGCGTGGCGAAGCCGCATGCGGCGGAGGAGGTGCTGCAGGAGGTGGTGGACTTCTGCTGTGGTGCAGGGGGAGTGGACTGTAGGGAGACATATAGTGAGAGTGGGGATTGTTTTGAGCCAAACAAGCTTTTGGCTCATGCATCTTATGCTATGAATTCTTACTACCAAATGCATGGAAGGAACTATTGGAATTGTGACTTCAAGGGCACTGGTCTTGTTACTTTCACTGATCCAAGTAAGTTAATCACTTAATTAATTCATTTCTATATCCTAAATTAAGTTAGACGTGACATGTATCAAAATTAACTTATAAATTGCATTTCTAATACATTGCTAATTAAACTCCTATTCCAACACTAAAATGATAAAAAAAAAAAAAAAATTAATTTTAATATTTGGACCAAAAAAATTATCATGCTCAAATGCACGTCTCATTTTCTTGGCCTATTGACGGTCTCTCAATACTACACTATTGTGACAATTCATTTAATTAGTTAAGTGGTTTTGGTATTTAGTGTTTGGTATTTATTATGTGGTAAAATTCTTAAATTTAGACGATATGATAGAATATTATTGAAAAGATAGTAATGGATCTTGACTCGTATAAAAATTGATATTAATTTTTGTTCAATTAATTCAATTACACTGTTATCATGTGTAAACTGACCTTGGGTCATGTTTGATTTTTGTGACAGGTTATGGGGCTTGCCGGTATCCCCAACAGTGATGTGCTAATGGGAATGAAATGATCAGTTTGAGAGATCTCTCATTTCTTAATGTTGTTGTTGTATGTTATTTGGATTATAAGTAGTGTACTAAGATGATTTGGAATTCAGGAATTCAGTGTTTCATGTATTAATGTGAAAAACATTTTAAGCAGCTGCTTGGGAAACTTGATAACAACATGTGAAATCTACTTGAAAAAAAAAAAAAAAAAAAAAAAAAAAAAAAAAAAAAAAAAAAAAAAAATTTGAATTACTTTTACTTCGGGTACTACTAGTGGAGTTTGTGCGTCTGTAAGGGACTGAAAAGGTAAAAAGAGTCTTTTATCATTTTCCTTCTTGCATGGGACCTTTTTACAGAAGAAGATAGATAAAAGCTGTCCTAAATCTAATGCACGTTCTCAAAAAGTATGATGTTTCCCCAATCAACGGCTTTTTAAATGAAAAAAAACAAAACAAAACAAAAAAAAAAAGGTTAGTGCTCTTTCTAGTGGACACCATCTCATTTTTGTCCTATAAGATTTTTTCTAATATAGATGAGGAAAATTCTACTGACAATAACATTTCAGTACAATACAAAACAGCTGAATTATGTTTTTAAGATCTTGTATGTGTCTATTTTAAAATTTTGTGAAGCACAATACAAAACTGTTCCGCTCACAAATCAATCAGTTGAAAACTAATCAAACAATTAAAGCTGCAGTTAGTACAAACAAAATTTGTTGATAGAAAAGTCAGAAAATTCACTTGTATTAACCTTGCATTTGTCAGTCACAGTACTTGTTGCAGATCCCAAGAACTGTAATTTGGGATAGAATGTTAATCCAACTCCGTAAATTTTAATAATATGTTAAATTCATAAATTTAAAATTATAATTTATAATTTAAAATTTTTATAAAAAAAATACTGTAAAAAATTAATAATTATAATTTAAAATAAAGACGAATTCTTAAAATAAATATCCCATAATATCTGCCTAGTCCTACTTCCTAGTGCACGTTGTCAAAAAGTGTGATTGAATGCTAATCACAGTACTTGTCCAGACTTCAATTATGTTCAGCAAATTAAGTAGCAATTAAAAGTTTAATACTCTAATAAGCACAACTAGTTTTCATTAACATGATTTTCCTTAGCCTATGAGTAAATATTATTGAAAAATTAACGAAATGTACGCTTTTAACTTTCACCCTAAATACAAAAACTTGAAAAACAGAAAAGGGGAAATTTAACGGGAAAAAAAAAAGGCTGAAGATATACTCTATATTGGCTTTACATTGGCAACGTCCTAATTTCTCTGGCATGTATAACATGTATTAGCTAGGCATAAGTGGGGGAAAATCTGCTAGATGTTTGCTTGCTTCCACTTTTCCTGCATATAATCCTAAATACAAATATATATATATATATATATATATATATACATACATTGGCAATCAGAATGCTCTGAGACAGTTTAATATAGTTGACTCAGATGTACTAGGACAATCAGAATGATCAAAAAATGTGAAAATAAGTTAACACCCAAAGTTCATGCCACTTCTAGGGGCCATTTCTATTTGTGACCCTTCTGCTTTCCTTTCCAAGTCATCGAGCTTATCGTTTTCGGATAAAGACCTATCCACCTTCCTTCTTTTGTTAGAGTTATCTTGCTTCTTCTCGTCGATTAGTGATAGAAACCTCCTGAGTCGCCCTGATCGCGACTCGCTTTGAGCGCCTGACACGGAATCTAGGGGAGCAGCATAGTATAGCCGCTTAAAGATTCTCAAGAAGTATATGAGAATAGCGACGAAGCAAGCGACCCCACACATGAGGAATAGGCCCGCGAAGCTTTTGAGGTGAAGCTGGTCTGATTCAAGTTCAGCACCCTCCATGCTGCAAGCGCTTCGCATCAACCACTTATCATGGATCCTCTGGAGATCGCCATTCTCGGACATCTGAAGAATCGCGGTTGACATGTCCACCGCTAAAGGAGAATCCCGCGGAAACGCCTGCCACAATGAGAGTAGAGGGAGGACATATCAATTTCCTTTTGTTCCTAATAACCTATTAAGCATTGATATTAATCATAAATAGTAGTGCTAGCAGCGCAACACAAGAGTCGCACGGCAAAAAATACGACAGTTGGGTCCCATGTTGTAATGTGGATCACCAATGACAATAAATCTTATTTTTTTTGCAAAATATTGGGCCAAATTTTCACTGATAAGGAAATAAATAAAGGACTCACAAAACCCCAGCCACTTTTGGTGAACTCCTGACCAACAACTCTGAATTTACATTGTGTTGAGAGGAAGAGTTCGATATAAGCACGTTCATCGACCACAGCAGCAACACCTCCTTTGCTAGGACCATCCTGAAGTGCTTTAGCATAAGCTTCAGGTGATCCCAGAGCAATGAGCCTAGACTTGGAAATGCCAATTTCCTCAGTCAGATAATGCTCAGCAAAGGAGCCTATTTGATACCCAATTGGCTCATCACCGTTTTTCAAGCTTTCAATTCCTTTAATGTGAGAAGATAACTGCTGCACTGTCAGGATTGATGTCAAACTTGCTGTATAACTTGAGTTGATTATCAAAACCACAAAGAGCCATATGATTAGCACAAAACGACCAAGGGTGCTCACGGTGTTCTCTCCTGCACAAAAGGGTCAAAAAGAACTAACTTAATCAACTGAACATTTCTATAGTACTCTCTCCTGAAGAGAGACTTTACTCAAGACACTTACTGTGAGCAAAAAACATGGTTGAGAGGCTAAACCTGCAGCGTTAATGAAGAAGAGTTGGATTAGAAACAAAATATGTAACATACTGCATGTCATTAACAAAAAGTCAAAAATGACTAGCAAGTTAGCTAGTTAGAATTGTTCTCCTAACCATTAAACTACACAAGGTTATAACGTATAAATTGCGAGTGAAGAACGCACCAGAGAATGGTTATAAGCTGCCTTTTAGGTGGACCCCTGAACTCGTCATTTATCCTATGCTCAAGAATCCACACAACTATTCCAACAAGAATGAAGAAAACCGCAGTGACTGTCCACATGAGTGGATTAAACGGTCGTAGGAACGCCCAAGCACCGGTGTTCATTCTTTTAAATGGAGCCACAACAACAAGCCCTGATGCAGCATACGGCTGAGTAAAATCTACTATCCTCGTCCTGTTTGTGACAATGGCAATATCGCCAATGGCAGCATCAAAGGACTGTGAGATAATCAAAATGATAGAATCAGTCATTTGGGTAATTTCTGTTATCTCTATGATCTTAACTGTTGAGTAATAATAAATTCATAATGCACAACTTACACCCGACACGATCTCGGTCACAAGTTCTGTGTAGCTCGGGTTTTCACGACCATTTCCAAAGGGAATGAATTTATATGGCACTGCATACGGTAGTAAGTTCACAGCGGATACAAACACATCTATGCAAAAACCCTTGAACATATCAGTTCCTCGCACTCGTGACACAAATTCTCGGTAACTGACCCGATTTGGCACGCCAATTCTTAGTTGCTTCCCATTGTTTGGGAACACCCAACCACGGGGCTTCAGCGATGTCTCACCAGGCCAGATAACGCTGTATAGCCGCTGGTTTGCAATCGAACGATTAGGTGGCCTAGAGTAGAGCGTCTCGGGAGGGACAGTTGATAAACCAGAATAGTTGCACCAGTAACCAACTCTCCGAACTCCAGTTCCAACCACGTTGATAATATCATATGAAGGAAAAACAAGAGATCTCTCCAAATCAAACCTAATAGGACCCGTCAAACCAACAAGATTACTTTGCAATATGTTCTTCAAGAGACGGTCACCTTGATCAAAAATGCTCATTGCCTCAAGATGAAGTAGCCCGGCTTCTGTAGACTTTATCTTGGTATCATTAGTAAATGAAATAACACCACCCTGATCAAAAAATGCATCGATAGCATGAGCAACCAACCAAACACTATCATAAGCGTATAGTCCATAAGAATTCAACCCCGGAGAATCACCAGTCAACTTCCTCCACCTAGATGTAAAGGCTCTCTTTCTATCCGAATCCGGCGTGTGTGGGCGCAAAACAAGAACTCCTTGCATCGACTCCATCCTCCCGGAGGGAAGAGGAAAAGAAGTGTCCAAAACAGACGAAAGCCAATCCGTGGCTATCCATACGAAGCCATTGCCCATCATTCCAAGATATTGTGCCACAGAGAAAACAGTGAAACCTGAATCTGGATTGACGTGAAGAACTATGACTCGAGATTCGAGTAATGCAACCTTAACAAGAAGATCCAAGACTTCGCTCCTACTAACGGCACCCGGAGGGATTGGCACCTTGTAGGACATTCTACAGCGTCTCTCCGCGAGTTTATCACCTAAAGCCGATATACCATTGCGTCCAAAATCATCATCTACGAAAATTGCAATTAACTCCTTCCAACCATAGAAGTCGACTATCTCAGCCACAGCAGCCATTTGATATAAATCACTATGTGTTGTCCTAACAAAATACGGGAACTGAAGGGACGAAAGAGTTGGGTCTGTGGCCGCAAATGACAATAAAGGGGTCTTGAGTTCATTTGCAACGTGTGATATAATATGGGCAACAACGGAAGATTGTGGTCCTATAATGGCGATTACATCTTTCTCCAAAAGTTGCAAAGCTGAAAAAAAAAAAAAATCATCACAGCTATTCTATGATTCTATCAAAATATCACTAAATAAATAAACTAGGGAACTTCTATAGTAGGGATGCCCATGAGAACTGTGCATTTGTGAAAATCATCAATGGCAATTTTACATAAAGCAATAAAAATTTGATACATCAAAACTGCTCAAACCTACTCATAGAATTATCCATTAAACTAACAAAAATAAAAACTTGTGTTAAAAAAATGCACAAAGTAGGTACCTTCAACCATGCCCACAAACCCACTGCAGTTGGAGTTTTGCATCTGCACAGAAAGTTTAGTCCCACGGAGGATACTGGAATTTGAGTTGACATCTTTCACTGCTTCCTCAATGGCAAGCGTGGCAACTCGGCCGATTGTGGAGTCAAAGGAGAAGATGGCTCCGACGTTGACCACGGCCGGCCTTGAAGAAACATTTTTGCCATGCCCAAATGGAAAACCTCCAAGATAGAGGAGAAACACAACCAAAATAGCCCAAATCAAATTCATCTTCAACTACCTAAAAAACCTTCACTTTTTGTGCCCAACATGACATAGATCCTTGCCCTCCTCAGTGAGTTTTGTGCAGAATAAGATTCAGGAGCATACGAGACTCCTCATTAGAGCTCTAAAAGACATATGCAAACCAGAATTCCTCTGAAAAACAGGGGGGGAAAAAACGTAAGTGTTCCTAATCCATTTTTATTCTAGGCACAACTAATTAACGCAGAAACCAGATTGTGAAAATGGGTAAACGAAGGTTCCTGCTCTTGTTCTTTGTGTTTTTTTTTTTTTTTTTTTTTTCGAAAAAAAAAATATTGAGAGGAAAGAAGCTTTCACAGTCTCACGTCTAATAATTATGAATGATTAGCAAAGTTGACTTTAGTTTTTCCCATACAGGAAAAACAGAAGACCATTCATTACTCACGTGAATAACATTCTCGTCAAATTTTCTAATTTTTCTTCATGGGGTTTCAACATTTCAGGCAAAATTCGCTTTCAAAGAAGGGAAAGAAAATTATGAAATATGAGCACCCAGAAAGACAGCTAGCTGGGACCACAACATTTTTTAGACTCCATTTTTAGTTTCCTTGTAAACCCAGATGAAGCAACAAAGATATAAATCTAAAGAAGACCAAAAAGACAAAACTTACCTGAAAACCAAAAAAAGAGAAAGCTGGAGTAGGATTGAGTTGAGAAACGAACCCTTCAAGGCCTTTGCTTTTCCTTTGCGTGGAAAAAAAAAAATTTTAAAAAAAAGGTGAGGAAGAGAGAAAAATGGATTTTGTGTGCGTGGACGTGGGCTATATGGAAAGACATAAAAGAGTGTACAAAAAACCTTCCGAAAGTGAAAATGGCAGAGGAAGGAATACAACAAAGAATCAGAAATCACGTGGGCCAAACACAAATACAATGTCGTGCTTTATTGGATGCGATTCTTGAAACGGATAAATATGTTATTAGGATTATGCTCTCTCTGTTTACTTGCAAATAAAGATGCTTAGCACTTGGCTACGTTCATGATTCTTCTTCACAGTCACGTAAACGTCACTGCGTACGACTTCCTTCATTCCTTATTCACTTGAACTATAATAGATTAATATGTCATAAAAAAAAATATCCTCGTTTTTTCACTGTTGTTTTCAGAAATACAAGTTTTGTTAAATTCCGCAAGTTGATATTTAAATCTCAGAAATAATAATATTTAATTTTTTAAAATAATAATAGTATGTAATTTTATTTTGAGTGATGTAAAGTTTAAATCCCTCATTTGCTGAAATAATCTAGACCGCATTTATAACCGAGCAAATTGACTATTACATACTTCTTTTTTTGATAGAAACAATACATTGTTCAAAAGGGAAAAATAGAAATACATTTTCAGATGGTAAAAATATGTTATTTATACTACTCTACTGAAAAAATAAATAATTATTATTTAATAAATAAAGAGAAAATAAAAAACATAATCTATAACTTAATTATTTAAAATGATATATATTATGGGAATTGTCTCCAATATCGCACCGAATTAGAGCGGCACATGTATATTTTTTTTTAAAATATGTATATTTTAAAAAATATATATATTTTCTCTTAAAATATGTATATAAGTGTTTAGATAAATTATAATTATCTTCCCACATTATACATATTTTTAAAAAAAAATGTACATACTTTTAAAATATATATATATATATTTTTTAAAAAAAAATATACATATGTCACTATAATATCAGATTAGAGACTTTACTATAAATTATAATAGACATGTATAAAATCATCATAAACTACGTACTTTCTCCATCCGTTTCCGTCCAAAAGTGACTAAATACCGTTATAAAAGCTAAAATCAGAAACATGTTATATGTCAGGTGATATTTTTGAAAATGAGATGCCAATCACATCCTCCATAAAAGGGTAGGAGGTTGATTACAAAATTAACCCAAAAAAAGGGGCCAAATTAAAAGCAGAAGATTGGAGGGTCACGTGGATGACGTGTGAAATAGGGTGAAACAAATATTGGCCTAGAATAGTCAAATAGAAAGTAATCTAGTTATATATATCTGTATCTAAATTCTACACGACAAGAAAAGAATAAATTAAAGTAGCTTTTACCTTCGAAAATAATACAGTGATTAATACATCCTGCCAAACTTTCAAGTCATCATTTTATTCTAATCTATGTGACATTTCTTCTCTGTGTTTTTGCGATTTTTTGCCCAATTCCAACCCCACTTCAGGTTTCAAGGGTGAAGATTGACCATTGAAAATGCCCAATATATTCTTTTTAAGGTTCTATTCTTTTTCCATTTTTTGGTTTACAAGACAAAATAGAAAGGAGAATACGCTTCTTTTGGTGAAATGGAAAGGAGAATGCGTTACAAGATATGTATCTTAAACATCATTGCTAAGAGAGAATAAATTTTGTTTGAGTTTTTGTGTGTGCGTTTAGTTATATGTTTTGTTGAGCTTCATCTGAAAGAGTTAGAGTCTCTATTTCGAGTTTTTAATTCGAGTTGAGATGTGATATTATATGAGAGTTTTTTACTGTAACAAAAAAATTAGATGTGACTGTTTCTAAAAACTTTTTACTGTAGCAAAACTCGAATTCTAAACTCGAATCAGTGAAAAGAACGGGGCCGCGTTTCGCGTATTGTTTTGCATTGGGTGACGTTAACAATCATTATTCACTTTTTTTTTCTTTTTGTTCTTCCAATAGGTTGCATTTTTAAATTTAAAGAAGAAAAATGTTAGCATCACTTTTTATGTCATTCTTTTTATCAATTTTTATATTTATTATTTGAAACGTTGTCTCTACTATCTTATTTTTTTATTTAAATAATAATATATCATATCAGTAAAATTCACGTGTCAAACAGTGAACGTAAAAAGTAACAAAAAAATGATAGAATAAGTGATGTTAATATTTATCTGTTAAAAATATACATTTAGGTTTCGTCAAATATGGTTCATTGTTTTTCAATATATTTTTTTAAGAAACTTTTTATTTAAATTGTCAATCAATATAAATAAATCATTACTAAAAATAATCTTTTTATGAAAGTATTAGCATTCTACTTTGTAATAGATATGAACTAATTAAAAACAAATTTTAAACAATTACTTCATAATAATTTAAAGATATATAACACATTAAATTATTCACATGACGTCACAAGTACGGAGCATGTGGTTTCAGTTAATAATATGAAAAAGCTGGATGCTTCATGAAATTATTGGGTTGCAAAAGACAATACATTTGTTGGCCTTTTTATTTTTCTTTAAATTTAAAAAATGAGAATAAGATCCTTCTATGATATTTCTCAACATGTACTTGTTGTCGTATGAACTTGGGGACATCTTTATCCCCACCAACTATGCATTTCTTTTATCTTTTTTTTCAAAACAGAGTTTTGAGCTATCTACTGTTTTAACTATATATATGGACGAGTTTTATATATGAAAATCTAACAAATTTAAATATTTGCTATATTATTAATAGAGGTGGTCCTCCTCACATTGTATCTGTTTTTCTTGTCTTAAATAAATAAATAAAAAAAGACAAATTCTCTCCCAAAAACTCCTGTGAAACATGTGGATTAAATAAATTTTATGTTTCTGCTTTTATTGTCAGCGTTTATATTATAATAAACCTCATGAGAGAGTCCACTACTTCCTTTTGTGCTTGGAACCAATGATCCCTGTTTATAATAGAGATGTGGATATACTATTTAATTGAATGGTTTTTCAACAACAAGGGAAGCAAATCCTATTTTGATTCCAACTTCTTGTATTTTTTTCCATTATAAAATGATGAAACTCGTGTTACTTAAAAAAAGTATGTTTCTTGATAAGGAATTTAAACAAAATCTTAGGCGTCCAAAATTGTTCTTTCTTGCTGAGATTGTCCTCATCTTACAACTCAACCTAAAGCGACCCCTTTCTTTGTTTTCTCCAGCAAAATGTACAAGAAACTAAAGGGATATATATATATATATATATGAACTTGAAAACTTCTGTAATTACTATTTTAACGAGACAACACCTTAAAAGAGTCGTACGATTAAAAAAAAAAAAACATGACAGTTGAGTCTTAAATTTCTATGTAGGTGTAGTGATATATTTTGTCTGAAATAATTGTAACATCAACGATAATAAATAATTTTTCCTCTATCCTAAATTATCATACATAGGATATTGAAGAATGCAGATTAATTGGACATCACTGTCTCCACTCCAACAGAAGCCTACGGCCACAAACAATTATCGTCGGCCTTTGGCAACTTAAGTGGGAGGTGAGACACGTCCAAATCCAATAAAACCATTACCTTTGGGCCTCTTCTTTGAAAGCCTTTTCTGGGAGAGAATATCGGTTAAGCTTTCATTAAAAAAAATAAAAAAAAAAAGGTGAGTTGAAAAAAGAATAATCTTGATAAATAACCCTTAAAAATATATGAGTCAAAATTTTTATTCTTTATTTTTAATTTGTAATTTTTTTAGTTAAATAATTACATCAATAAAAATATATTTATTAAAAATAAGAGATAAATGTCCAAACTCATGCATTTTTAGACATACATTTTTCATTTTTTCTTAAGAAAAAGTAGAAATCTTATATCATTTTATATTTCAAACACAGTATAATGGTAAATCTACGTTTGATACCACCTTAACATATAAATTTCAAATTTCTTCACTCTAAAATATATATATATATAAACAACAAAACTAACATAATAATTCCAAACAAGCATAATTTTGTTAAAATAACTTCATTTAATAGGAAGATCGTAAAATACTACTCTTTGTTCCCCTAAAGAAAACAGTTTAGTATCAAGTTTAAATATGTTGTCCTCATTTTGCTATGTTATTGATTGTTCCCACTATTTATTTGATTTAATATAAATTTAATAACGTCACATGAATTTTATAAATACTCTCAAGTAAGGTTTTACAATGAATTTTAAAAATACTCTCAAGTAAAGTTTTACAATTCAGGTGAAAGAAAAACCAATTAGACATAAAAAGGAAACAACATATATGAAATTTACGATCCGTCTAGTATAAATGGCATCTAATTTGGTTCTACGAATTGCATTATAGAAACGAGCGCTCTTAATTATTGCACCGGCTTCCACTCATTCAGATTTTTTGGAAGGTTTTAGTATAGTTGTTCCATGAACTTGTCGTGGTTTAGTAAATTATTCCCCAAACTTTTAATTTTACAATTAACTTTCTAACTTGTGAAATTGTTTCAATTACCCTGTTTACTAAATTTGCTCATAATTTTTATTAGAATTAAGAGATTCAAAGTTACGGAATTAAAATATTTGTATTGTATTTGAATTAGTATGTTAAAATTTTTATTGAACGTACATTTTTTACACTAATTTAACATAATATCCTTAAAATAGTGCATATTAAAATAATTTATAAGTTAAGATAACTTATCAAAAAATTTTTAGGACAAGATGCTAAAACCATACAGTTCATGAGCAAATGTTAAAATACTCTTCTTTTTTTTTTTTTTTCCCTTCAAGGAATCCACTCATTCAGATTCAGGTGGGCGAAACTGGGAAAGGAAAAATTAAATTAAAAGCCAACTGTTTAACCATACACAAAATAACAACTTTTAACCAATCCTATGCCAACACGTCTAACCCAAGAATCCAAGGCGCTCTCTCGTCCTTTGTAGTCGTCAACAACATAAAAAGAAAAAAAAAGAAGATTTGGACCATCCATCACATAAGTGTCAGAGATCCAACGGCTGGGACGCTCTGGCGCACCAATCCACGAACTAATCTGAAGGCCACAGATCCTCCAATGAGAACTGAACACGTGTTCATAACACTCACCCTCATGTCATGATGAGATCCACCGGATTACCTGGAATCGCCGGTGGCCAACCATAAACCAACGGCTTAGCGCTCTTCTGAGTTCGTCATTCTCTCTCTCATATTTCATTTTTGCTGTTTCTCTCTCTGAAAAAGCTTCTGATTCTCTTTCCTTTCCTCGATTCCTTTTTATCTGAGGCACACATCTTTTCTAGGGTTTCACCATTGATCAACCATCTCACATCTGAAGAAGAAATTATAATAGAAGAAAGATCGGAAGAATCTCCGTCGTCGTCGTCTTCATTCGTGAGAATTTTTCTACTTTTTTTTTTTGTGGTTCCGTGTTCTGTAATTTTCCAATTTCTTGTCTCTTCCGCATTTGATGATTGCGATTTTCCTCGGAAAATTTCGGTTCCTCGTCGCTTAACTAGTCGTTTTCCTCCCCCCCCTAATTTTCCACGGTCAATTTTGAGTTGAATTTCTCGACATTGGGCTCGGAGATTGCGGATTTAAATAGTTGATCTTTTTTGTGTTGAATTGGATTCTGAGATTCTGCATTGGGTAACTTTGATCTGTTGGCTGGTCTGTTGAGTTCTGTGATTTAGAAGATTTTTAGAACTGGCGGAGTTGTGAAGATTGAAATTTGAAGAGTGAATTTTCTTGTTTTTTCCGGCTTTTGATTTGGCAAAGCATATATTTGAATTCTGAGCCAGTAAGATAAGGTAGATCATTTGGGCATTTCTTGAAGCTGTTGGTTTGCTTAGTAATTATTCTATCCGTGGTTGCTTTATAGATTAAAGAATACTCACATTCCTTATCGATTGGAGTTCTTAAGTTAGGGGCTATACGAAGCTTCTATTTCACAGGAAATCAAGATCGACAATTTTGTGCTTCTTGATTTGGAAACCAGTTGATTTAAGCTTAATAATCAAGGGTTGTTGATCTCTGATTGGTTTAGAGGGAATAAGAATGGCTGCGGGTATGGATTTTTCGCCTCCATATAGATTAATAGAAGGCGGTTATAATAAGGACAATGTACCAGCCATGGAAGATGAAGCTTCAGAGAATCTGAAAAATATAAAACAAATGACAAATGGAAAACCTCCACGGCATCTCTCTGTCATGAGGCATTCTGTGAGCTCTATAAAGCTTCTGGCAACTGCTGATTTGGTGAGTTATTGTCGAATTTCTCAAGCTACTACTGTTGATTCTATTTAATGATGTTAGTTTTCTAGTAATATTTAACATGGTAGTTACTTATCAAACTTTAGTGCTTAATGTTGATATTATTATAAGCATAGAAGTTGTACATGGTAGCAAGTGCTGATTTGGTGGGTTCTTCTTGAAATCGCCCATTGTCAAATGTATCAAGCTACTATTGATTCTATTTAATATGGTAGTTGCTTATAAAACTATTACGCTTAATGTTGATATTATCATTAAGGTTTGAAGCTTTTAAGATCTACTTGAGGCCTTTTCCCTTATGTTCACCAGATTTTGTGGACTGTAGTGCACGTTCACTGACCTTCTTTTAATGCTTCTCCAGAGTATGGATGTTGGGGTAATAGCCAATAGTTCACCTTCCGACGAGAAATCAGTGTTTCTACCAATTTTCCGATCAGGAAGCTGTGCTGAAAGAGGACCTAAACAGTACATGGAGGATGAACACATATGTATAGACAATCTCGTTGACCATTTGGGAAACACTGTCACTACACAATTCCCTTCACCTGGAGCTTTCTATGGGGTCAGTATTTTCATAGATAATCATCTCAAAGAGAACTTTTAAGTGCACCTCTTGTTTACCTCCATTCCTCTTATTTTTTGTAATGCATTGTTTTTACTAAATGTGTTGAAACAAAAAAATTGCTTTGACTGAGAACTTGGGGAATGTGGGTTTTTGTGGGGTGGTTTTTTGAGGATGTTATCAGTTTAATTTAGATGGTCTTGAGGATGAACTGATTACATATATGAACAGGTGTTTGACGGTCATGGAGGTACTGATGCAGCATCCTTTATCAGAAATAACATTCTCAAGTACATAGTGGAGGACTCCCATTTCCCAAACTGTTTGGAGGAAGCAATCAAGAGTGCTTTTCTGAAAGCCGATTATGCATTTGCGGATGCTAGTTCTCTTGATATCTCCTCTGGAACGACTGCTTTAACTGCCCTTATTTTTGGAAGGTAAGTTAGCCCAAATCTTCTCTGCTTTAACATTTAGCTTTTGGAATTAAATTGCCTCAGAGAAAAGTGGAAGAGTTTTACCACAGCTATAATAGTTTATATGCACTCCAAATTGCCCAAACATCGAGCTCACTTTGTCTACTTCCTTTCCTTTCTCTTCGCAGGATAATGATAATCGCTAACGCTGGGGATTGCAGAGCCGTGATGGGGAGGCGGGGTAGAGCAATCGAGATGTCAAAAGACCACAAACCTGATTGCAAATCTGAAAAACTGAGAATAGAGAAACTCGGTGGTGTCATCTATGATGGCTACCTCAACGGTCAATTGTCTGTGGCCCGTGCTCTTGGAGACTGGCATATGAAAGGCACAAAAGGCTCTGCCTGTCCTTTGAGCGCAGAGCCAGAGTTGAAGGAGACACATCTGACGGAGGAAGATGAGTTTTTGATAATGGGGTGTGATGGCCTATGGGACGTGATGAGCAGCCAGTGTGCTGTGTCTATAGCAAGGAAAGAACTGATGCTCCACAATGATCCTGAAAGGTGCTCAAGAGAGCTGGTTAGGGAGGCATTGAAGCGCAACACATGCGACAACTTAACCGTTATTGTGGTATGTTTTTCGCCCGACCCTCCACCACGGATAGAGATACCTCAAACTAGAGTCAGAAGGAGCATATCTTTGGAAGGGCTTAATGTACTCAAGGGTGTATTGGAGTTGTAACTTTTGACACGAGGAATTTGTTCAAAGAGCCATGTACAGAACACAAGGGTTCAAATTGATGGAGAGGTATTCTAATTCTTCTTTTATTCCCATGCCATTACCGCTGCTGTGTCATGTCATGATTGGCATTCCTTTTCGGGATATAATATCTATTTGCTAGGTTTTATTTTTCATGTTGTATATTTTGTACATCTGAGAAAACCTGCGTTGTACCAATTGAGAGTTTGAAACCATTCATTGTTTAAAATTCTAGTTGAAGTTCTCTTCCATGAATTATCCACCTTCTTGTCCACTATAAGCAACATTATCTTCGAATGTCGTGTGGAAAAAATGTCCATTTTTTCCCAAGCTTTATTTTTTTCTCCGTTTTTTGATTGGGTAGGGGAGAAAAATCACCCAGGAGCATTAAATTCATGGAATACATCGGAAGACGCATTAACTAAATCGTTCGCTTCTCTTTAGTTTTAAGGAAGGAGAGAGAAACTGTGTTTACTTTGACTCGTATTAAGTTGACATAATGATACATTTGATTTGATAAACTTAAGCATAAGATCAAAAATTTGCTGGTGGGAATTACGCAATTCTCATTTTTAAATCTGAGAATCCCTACTAACTTTGACCTTCTATCAAGTTCTTTCACCGACACTATGGTTTCCAGCGGAGTGCAAAAGAATTTGGTAAACTCACAGTTCTCCATCTGATTCATCATCGTCGTCGCCATCGTCCTCATAAGAACCACTGCAAAACAGGGATTTGTAATCAGTAATCTTAGATACCATACATATGGAGAGAGCCCTGTATATCAAACTATCCTAGAGAGTATATTTAAGGGACAAATAACATTCCGAGGTCTAATTGGTTAATTATGTTTGCTCAGAGGTCCTGATTGGTTACTGTTTTAAAGGATGACATCAAAACTTCAAATCCCTAGCATTTTGATTTTTGGGATATTTTTAAATTGTCTAAGTGTCATGCATACAATGCCTGGTTGAGTCTGCAATGATAATCTACACATCTTACCCTGTTTTGCTGCAATGCTTACTCAGGTCTTGACATAAAACCTTGCTTACATCTCCTACTTTAACAGAACCGTTCTTTATCAATTCTGCGAACTGCACGAGCAAGAGACGACAAGGACAAGGGCAACTTATGAAATTCCCAAATAAATTAACCTTTAAAACATTCATTTTTGAAGATCAAAAGAACATAGGATCACCTCATCTTCTGTTTCCTCAAGCAACCTGTCCCACGAACATACAGATTAGACCAATTACATCTTCATCACAAAGCAAACAAAATTCGACTTCTCACCTTCCACAATATGTTGATATATCTTTTGAATAAGCTCGAGCTTCTTGTTTATCTAAAAGAAAAAGGAAAAAAAAAAACTTCATATCAATAGACCTAAATAGGAATCCGCAGAGTGAAATCAACAAAAATAACGATGTCAAGATTAGACAAACAAATGTAAAGTTACAATCATTTGTCTTTTTCATATTTTGGGTTAAGAAGATCAGTTGTTTCTTGGTTAGACTATTTGTCATGTTGTATTTTGTTGTGGGGGAAAAGTTGCCTCGGCCCCATTATTAAGGGGTGTTTACATATCATCAACTGAAAGAGAATAGGACGAGTGTTCAGCTTTCCTCCCAGTCATGTGTTTTTTTACTAAATTATGAATGCAATTCTAGCTTCTAATAAGTACACTTGAATTAAACGTTTAATTCCCTTTCTTTTTCCTCTTATTTCCTTTCAAGCCCTTGCTCTTTCAAATCACAATCCATTACGAAATAGTAAACACACCCTTATGCAAAAAGCATCACGAGTCATCAATCAAAGCTACGTTGGAAATACATACTTGTGAGGTTGTCCCAGTTATCCACTTTGATCCACTCTTGTCTGGTTGGCTCTAGCTGAAAATGAAGAATTATAGTAACCAACATGTTTACACCAGAATGACTAAGCATGCCTATCTAATTACTCACTATCAATTATCAAACCAACGTATTAAGATTTAAGGTGCTAAAGAAACTGTCGACAACTGATGTTTACCTTCTGGAGAGTGTAATCTTGCATCTTTTCACAAAGCCCCTCCAGAAGTTCAACAACTCTCAGCTCACTCACTCTGTTGAAAGAAACATACAAATCAGGTATTACCTGCTTGAAAAATAAACTCCTCTAGAACTACGTTATAGAAAAAGCATATGATCCATCAACTCAGCTAGTTGAAAAACAAAATACGCTAGAATCACACCATAGAAAAAGCACATAATCCATCACACTCATTAAAAGCATCTCCACTGCAATGCCAAATTTTTATGCTGATAATAAAATCTGGCATTTGGGTAAGAGAACCATTCTCCAACACAATGCCATATTAATGCCAAATTTGACATATGATGTATACTAGATGCTAAATAGCATCAAAGTATAGCATGTACCAAAATTTGGCATTTGGTTACGTCTTGATTCATGTGGTAGACTTTTTCACTTAATACAACATTGTTATTTTTCAAATTTTGAAAATTAAAAATTTTCATCTTCAGATTTGTCCTCTAATCAATCCCATTTCCAGTACATTTTTAACTCACATTGTTAACAAACCATAATCCGATAGATATCGTCCGGAAGCCAAAACGTAGAGGAGAAACTGAACCTCATACCTGTAATCGATCAGCTTTCCTCTCCGTTGACCTGTAGAATCCAAGCGGTGCCTCATGTCCAAATGATTCCTCGGTTTTTCCTGAGAAAATGCATCGTGTTATCCCACAAACACCATAAAAGCCGAAAAAAAAGGGTCCTGTGATCTTACATTAGAAAGTCCTCGCTCCAGCTCCTCCTACAAGGATCATATGAGAACCGTATGAGTCGAATTGAATTTCTTCAAATTAATCATGTTTTCTCGTCCGGATCCAAAATTTTGGGATCGAAAAATAGGAAAATTAACAAGAGGAGAGAGAAAGATAGAGAGAGGGAATGTAATTTACAGCGACGGCGTTGCAGGCGGCGCACTTGTCATCGACGGAGAAGGCGACAGATGAAATGGATAGAATCAGAAGGAGCTTGATCAGCATTGACGAGGAGATCATCTTCTTCTTCTTCTTCTTCGTCTGCTTCTCTTACGTTTCCAATTTTCTGTTGTTGAAGTGCAGTGCTTTTTCCCACGCTTCTTTCAAGTTCTGCCTCCTCTCCTCTGGACCGAACTTTCTAGATCTTTGGCCCATGTTTATGCATGGGCCGAAGCTCGTGGGTATCAATTCTCTGGTCCATGTCTGTAGCCCACATTTAAATTGGCGAAAATTCAGAGTGTTAATAAAAAATTAAAAAAAAAAGAGCATGTCAAGACTTCTGGCACATGAACGAGAGGGGGTTTGGGAATCACACTCTTGAAAATTTAAGTCCGTTTAGTTCGTTGATTCGAGTTTTTAATTTGAGTTGAGATGTGATTTTATGTGAGGTTTTTACTGTAACAAAAAAGTTAGACGTGACTGTTTCTGAGAGCTTTTTACTGTAATAAAACTCAAATTTTAAACTCAAATCGATAAAATGAACGAGGTCATGACCAGATCTAGGACCTCCAAAGTGTGGTGGATATTGCTAAACATGTTGTACAGGAATTTCAAGAACTGGCCCGTGATGGACTAGGGCCGCGGGCCAGTTCTAAGCCTGAGAGTTTCTCCTCAGGCCTGGCTCTGGCACATTCTTGCAATGTGCAAGGTCGTGCCAGGCACGGCCCAAGCCCGCCACGGGCTTGGGGTCGGACGTGTCGTGCCGGCCCGACCTGACACGTTTGACACCTCTAATTATTCATGTATGTCATGTATTTAGTTCGTGACCTTAGGTGACTTTTTTTTTGTTGTCTTTAACTTTATGTTAAATTTATATAAAGCTTATTCTTACAAAATTATTTATCCACATTTTTTGTATTTTAAAAAAACATATTTAATCAACCCGACTTAATCTAATGTAAATTTGCCGACTGTTTAAGTCAAATTTTGAGTCGTATTATAAGCGTTGGACCACACAGCCCAGCCCAGATCTAGATAGTCGTTCATTTGGGAGGAGGAGGGGAATGGGCCGACGGACCTAAGGGAGTAATAAAAATTAATAGGCCTAAGATTACAATTAGTTAGAGAATAGGTTAATTTAGTGTAATTTAAAATTTACACCTTATTAAAATGCAAGACTTGTTCCTGTATAAAAAAAATAAAAATAAAAAAAGAAAAAACCAAAAATTCTCTCTCTCTTTTCCCCTCGTGTTATTTCTCTCTCCTCCAAACTGCTCGATCTCTCTGCCCGTTCCACCTGAGCGCCGTCGACACGAACGCCATCGATCTTCTCAGCTCGACAGAGCAACTGCAAGAGAGATCCATTCATCTCCTCGGCTTCGTGACGGAGCAACCGCGACAGAGAAATAATCCGCTGGGCCACACGGATCTCTTTCTAGTCGTGATGTTGATCGCGATCTCAACTAACTTCAAGATCCAATTTTACTATAGAGACAGTCGTAGCAAGAGATATCATCTTCGCAAGTCATTATTTTAGTTTTGATCATTTGAGTTTATTTTGGGTTTGTTTGTTTGTTATGAATATATTGATTATCCGTATGGAATTTCTAAAAAAAAAAAAAAATGTAAATCTGTGTTTGTTGATTTTCTTTTCTATAGTTTATAGTCCATGATTGTTTGATTTGCATTGTCGAGAGAGAGAAGGAAGCCGCACAAGGAGAGGAGAGAGACATCAAAAGGAGAGAGAGAAAAATGAAGAGGAGAGTGCGGAGAGAGAAAATGTAGTCAGAGTGAAAGGATGAATGAGAGAGACAAAAACATGATAAAGTTTGCGGATTTGAGTTAAAATGTGATTTTATAAAAAAAATTAAATGTGATTTTTTATATAAATTTTTAATTATAATAAAATTAAAATTAAAAATATGAAATGAACGATACTTAAATATAAAAAAATAAATTACATATTTTTAAAATGAAAATGGCCTATCAATTTCTATTATTGTTAAATAGGTTATTTACTTCTATAAAATTTAAATGTAGGTCTATTATTTTCTTAGGTTGAATTTACAAGTCATGTGGTCCTCTAAACCAATGCCCTCGAGCTCTTTCTCAATTGAGACATCCATAATGTATTCATATGCATGAAATTTCATGATGATTAATCCATTCATTGTTTCATCCACTACTTGAAAAGGGTAAAAAAGAAAAAAAAAATCACAAAATAAAGCTTTTATTAGATTGTCCAACGTAGGTAAATATTGATGCATAGTCAAAGGTTGGTAAAAATTGCCACGTAGCCACGGCAATGACATTCTTCTCATGTTATTCTACAACTCTCTTTTCTCTCATCATCATTATTATATATATATATATATATGCTCCAAAGTATAATGTAGAATTTACTCATTAGGAAATTATAGATGAAAATTTGCAACGATTTGAGATCCTCTCCCCCCAATCTCCATTGCTCATCTAGCTATCCAAAGGATAGCAAATCTAGGTGAGATTTGTAGTATGGCAGCTTTTGCGGTTTGCCTTCTTCCTTAGTTTTCATGCGTGTATGGATTCTTTAACCTTTCTTTTCCTTGCCCTTTTTTATTTCCTATTTAGTTCTTATTTAAGAATAGATAGTGTGGAATTTTCAAGTGTTTGTTATTGGGGTGGTTGAATCAAGATCACCTGAATTAATATAAAACTTAACCTAAATAACAATTTTTTTTTTAGGAATCAACGTAACTAAATAACTTTATTACCTGCGCTGAAATATGGACATGAATTATGTATATTTTCGATTATAAATGTAGTTTTCTTAATTTAATTCAAAGCTGTTATCCATTCTATGGCACTTATTTTTTTTTTTTTGGTAACATGCGGTACATAAGTTTGTTATTACGTTGCCATAAAAAAGCCATACTGCAAAATCTAATAAATTTGGCAAATTGCTTGTAAATGCAAAAAACAAATCGACAGAATTGCTTGAAAGTGACAACATACATGTATATAATGAATTTGGACTTTTTTTTTTTTTTCAATAGAAGACAAAAGAAAAAGGCTGTTTATTAATTCGTTTTTTTTTTTTTTTTTGTTGACAAATAGTAATACTGATAGAAAGTGAAAGTCCCTGCACTAATAAAAATTGGGAAGGTTATTGGATTAGGATGCACACATTATACTATACAATCATCCCCTTGACTCTTGTGGCCTAAACCGGGTCCACATTTACTACCTACTAAAGTCCGGTTCACATTCATCGCCGAGCATTTCGGTGTCACCTCAGCATTTTTTTCTTTTTGGATGAATAGTTCTCAGAAAAAAAAAAAAATATATATATATACACACACTATATTTTTCTTTTTTTTTTGTTTGTTTGAGATAGATTTTGAGGAGACTTTTTTAATTGGCTGACATACTGATAGAGTCAATTTATAATCATTAAATTTGATTAAAATCACATAAAATTAAAAAAGTATATAAAATATATATTTTTTAATATAAATTTAACGGTTAAAAAATAAAAAACTACTTATAGTTCATTTTTTGTTGTCATACCGTTGAAACTCCCTTAAAGATAACAAGAAACAGCTTAATTTGTTCGATTACAAAACCCTTTCGTACCTTTTTTCGACTTGAAATTAATGACATTGTATTTCGGTATACTTCAATATCTTTTTTTTAATGAATACTCTTAGAAAAAATAATTCTACTGCATTTTTCTTTTACTTTTTAACCATTATTCAAACAAACACAAAAAGAAAAACGTATCAAAATGGGTAAGAACAAAAAAAAAAAAAAGATAGTGGATAGAAAATAAGAAAAGAAATTACCCTAGTTTGTTTCACTATAAAGCTAAATTTAAAAAAAAAAAAAAAATTTATAAAGGCCCAATTTCAACTTTTCAAGGCTAATTTTGAGGAATCTTTAAGAGCCCGTTTAGTCCACTGTTTTAAATTTTTAATTTAAGTTGAGATGTGACTTTATATGAGAGCTTTTTATTATAGTAAGAAAGTTATATGTAACTGTTTATGAGAGCTTTTTACTATAACAAAACTCAAATTCTAAATTTGAGTCGGTGAAATAAACGGAGCCTGAATTTGTACCACATGATATTGGAGCTTTGGACTTGTGCACTACAAAAGAACTAGTCGAAATCAACAATGCATGTTTTACCGAAATTGTACCTCCAATTAAGAAGGTAATCTACTAGATTGCCATCGTTAATCTACCAGATGTTGGCATAAGGTATTAATCGCGTACATTATTTTTTTTAAAAGTAAACGCTACAGGAAAGTACCATAAAAAACCTATAACAACAAAAAATCACAAGATTTATTCCTAAATCAAATCATAAAACTGGCACGTATCTCTAATGCTAACCTTAAATAAAAATTCACAAAAATCCCTAATTTAAGCAGTGATATTTTTAGCGTTAAAGTTGATATGCGTTGTAATTGATATGAAATTTGACACTAAGTATATCACACATTAAATTTTAGCTTTTAATTACTATTAGTTTATGTATTAACTTTTTTTATTTAATCATTGTAAAATTGTCATTTTCATGATACTTCAAAATTAAAAATTTACTTTTACAAGTTATAAAACTTAATAGTTATGACAGTAGTTACTCATAACATACGTATTAATGTTATGTGTCAGAGCACAAAATAAAATAATATATCAAATATATCATTCTCATTTTTTTTAATTCAAAATATAGTATTTAGATTGATATTTGTTTCATAAATGGTCTAAAAGTCACCAATTTATAGCCTATTAGAGCATCTCCAGAGGAGTTCTCTAAATTTTTACTAAATTTTAGCTAAAATAACTAGAAAACTATTTATACTATTAACTTTTTGGTAAATTATTTCAATCATACTCTCTATTTTAATTAAATATAGATTATTTCAATATTTATTGAATTTAAAATATAAATTTTACAAAAAAAAACTTTTGCATTTATTATAGTTAAAAGAATAAAATAATACAAAAAATGAAATGGTTACCACTGCATACTAGCTATATTTAACTAGAGTGGAGGGCACTCTCTAAAATAGCTAATTAGGTAGTGGTTGAAGTGGATAAAAGCTAAAAAAAATAAAAATCATTAGTTATTTTAGTTAAAACATGAAATGATTAGCATGGTTAGAGCTGCTCTTACACTAATATATCGGCAGACCAAGTTTTATGTACGTCAGATTTGTATAAAATCATGTAAAAGTCAAAAAATATACAAATTTTATAATTAGAAAAACTAAACCTACCGGTACGCCAGACATACTAGAGAATCTTTCTTTTTTCTCGTGCGAAAAAGAATGTTTTTTTTTTTTTTTTTTTTTTTTTTTTTTTTTTTTTTGTTTT